TCCGGGGCAGGCGGGGATCGAACTCATGCGGAAGTGGCTTTAGTTTCTCAGTGCTGTGCTTTAACCCGCTGCGCCACCAGGGAGGGCCCACCTGTGCCCTCTTAGTGAATTCGCATCCCATACCCTAGTGCCTTGTTAGTATAGCTTTACAGTAGATTTTAAAGTCAAGTGATGTGATTCTTCCAAGGTTATTCTTTTTTCAACATTGTTTTAGTGGTTCTGGTCCCATCTACCTTGTTTTAGAGAGTGAGTGTGTATAGCCACATACACACACACAAATTATGGTGGTATTTTTATTGCCTTTGAGTCAAATTTATAGAACAGTTTGGGGAAAATGCACCTCTTGAGTCAGTGTATAAACAGAATATTTTCCCATTTACTTAGGTCTGCTTTGAGTGTTTTCATCAGCATTTTCTGCTTTCCAGCTCCTTTACATGCCTTGCTAGATATATAAAAAGTATTTTATTATAAATGTTTTATTTTATAACTTTGATTTGTATTTGTTATCAATATGTAGGAATAAAATGGAGTTTATATATACTAACAATATATCTTACAATATTGGTAAACTCTTTGTTCAGACTTTTAAATATGGTAGATTAATTGCATTGATTTTGCATATTGAAGTAATCTTACTATATTTTAACATATTTCTCTATAAAAGATAGCACATTTCCATCTTTTTTCTGCTCCATATGTTGTTTTATCTATGTAGATCATATGTTACTTTTAGAAAGAGAAGTTAGTTTCTTCTGTATAACTTATCTGCTATATATAGCAAAGGGAGAAAAGTGCTCATCCATTAATACTCTAGGTCAATTGTCTTCCCATTTTTTTTTTACAGTATTGTAATTATAAACCCTTTTGTTTAATTTAGTGGTAGATAATATTTAAATACCTTAAATTAAAATACTGAAGTAAATTCCTCTGCATTCAAAAAAAATCCACCAAACAATAAAATACCTACTTCTCTGACCCTATTCTTAGACCATTAGTTACGACCGAGGGCCATAATGATTTGGCCATTTCTAGAGATAAACAATTGAGAAGTGACTCATTTATTTTTCGCACACACAAATACTTTCTGTACTCTTTTTATTTGCCCACCACCATCCCTTATAGCTCCTTCACCTTTCCTCCTTCCCTCTTAATCTCAGGAACTTCATTTCATTTACTAGTGACACTGGTTTCATAAATATTTTCCTTTGTCAAACTGTCTGCTTTATAAATTTCCAGTTTTTATCTTTGTCATTTTGACTCGCTTTACTCCATGTAATCCTCGCAGGCACCCTCCATTTGCTGCAAATGGCGACATTTTCCTTATGTTGAGTCACATTCTGTTGTATGGGTCTGCCACATTCCACACTGTTGGTCCATCACAGCTTCTTGCCCCAGTCTCTCCCAATGGGCATGTAGGTTGCTTTTGTTTCCACACCTTAATATATTGCTATTTATGCTTTAGGAGCCTTCTGGGAAGGATTTCCTATCTACATTCTTTAGGACTAGTGGCTTGAAACTTGGTTACCTTGTCCTTTCACTGTCTAGGCTTTATATCAGATAGTTCAAAACAAACTGAAAATTATTCCTTCCCTTGTTGGAGTTCAGGCCACAGGTTTTGACCTGCCTTCTGGGACCTGAGATTCCAACATCAGCTGTTTTTCAAAGTGGGTGCCAACACTGTGAGACCAGTAGTTCAGGTCTTAAAGCCTTTGATGTTGTATTTAAGGTCAGCTCACACATGAAAAGCTCATGAGTGAGCTCAGAATATTATTAAATAACTTGATACACCTACTTGGCCTTCCCTCTAGTTCCCTAGGTCTGTTTATATGGCCATCCAGCCAACAGCCTTTTAGTTGCTACCTAGCACATTTAATTTCTGAAGTTTATTTGGTTTATAATGATCATATATATAAGCACACACACATACATGTGTATATATAAATGCTGACAACACAATATCTGTTACCAGGTAGGGAAATTGCAATACGAATTTGCAAGCATCGAAGAGGTTGGATGTTTTTCATCACTGAGAAAATGATGAGAATATAACTGTATCCTCCCTCCTTTCCAGAAAATTCTAACTATGATTCCCACTGAAGAAGAGAAGCAGAAAATCCAGGAAGCTCAGCTGGCCAACCCTGACGTGCCCCTGGGCAGTGCCGAGCAATTCCTCCTCACACTCTCTTCAATCAGCGAGCTCTCAGCTCGACTCCACCTCTGGGCATTCAAAATGGATTATGAAACTACAGAAAAGGTAAACACTTATGAATAGAGGCAGCCACTCCTGCACCCCCACTGTTGAGAAGGTCAGTTTGGTATGGAGAAGGTAGTGAAGTACTATTCCTCAGACAGGGTTGACGGGAATTTTGTGTCCATCCTAGTGCTCGGCACCCTGCTCATGAAGGTTTGTTTTAAAGTATCTGCCTGGCACCAGATTCACACACTTGATTGTGGCTATCAGGTGACATGTTAAAAAAAGGTATCAATTGAATCTTTTTGGACTCCATGAAAGTAAAAATATTTGGAGGACAGACACTCTAGAAAATGACCTGTGTCCTCCCACATGATGATAAACAACTAAACTGTCACTGCCTGTGGCAATCAGCAGGTCACGGTCCCATTGAGAGTGTATTGTAGAAAGTTGGAAATGGAAGAGATCTCTTAAGGGTGAGAGCAGAATAGAAAGGGACCTTGACAGTGGAGACACGGGGGACTCGGCTGGAGTAGGGTATAGAGAAGCACACTGCCTCTGGTGTTGGATAATAATCTCTGCAAGCTGAGCTGAAGGAACCAGTGGAGAGGACAGAGAGTGGAGGGTGAACTTCACTGAGGGGAAGTGCCCAGAGGAGGCAGACTCTAAGTGCCCAGAGGAGGAGGTGCTGTGTGGCCACCATCTTCCAGTGAAGGGCAGAGAGGTGGCTGTGGGTATTCACAGTCATTCAGGAGTAGGGCAGGAAGGGAGACCTAGGACTGCTAAAGTGACCTGGCATGACTTGGTCTCTGAGCTGGTCAGTATGTTCAGGTGACCTTCTCAAACAAAGTGAGGTCATGTAATGGACAAATCAGATCACTGGGTCCACTTTGGTTGGGGATTGGCAGGGTAGCCTGGCAGAAGCGCTACTGCTGGAGAGAATGAAGCTGAACCTTCTGGTTTGGGGGTATAAGCTATGGTAGAAGCCTAGTAGGACATGGAAGTGGGGTTCATATAGCGACAGTAGATAGAGAAGGGGAGACTGTGGCTGTGAGGCCACAGGAAAGGCTAGAAGTCAGAGTGGGAGTTATGAAGGCTGTGGGATTAGTGAGGATGGTGGCTTTCTAGAAAGTACTCAAGAGGTGGCTTGCTGCAGAATGCCTGGAGGGGAAGCTATGAGACAGGGCCAAGGAAGCCACAATTTCTAGCATCATCTGCCTGGAAAGAGAGAGGCAAAGAGGAAGACTGTAGTTGAGATACTGAAGGAATCTGTAAGGGAAGAATGTCGTAGATGTAAGCTCCGGTTGAAGAGAGATGAGAGGAGATTGTGATATAAGGGCCCATCTTGACCTTGGTAGATGAGCAGAAACAAGGAAAGACCACATCTGTCAACCAGCACAAGCTTCTGCAGCCACATGTCTCCACTAGGAAGACTTTGGGGATGAGACTTTCTCCCTGATCCTTTTGGCCCTTTTCTATAACAAGGAGTGTGTCTCCACCTGTGAGATTGCCTTGTGCTGGGCAGAACTCTGCTCCTTGAACAAAAGCAAAGAACAACAAAATGAAGCCAAGGTACACATTCTTTATCATTGCCTTTATTTATTTTTTTTAACTGAAAGGAAGTGGCAGAACCTCTTTTGGACCTGAAGGAAGGAATAGACCAATTGGAGAACAATAAAACCTTGGGCTTCATCTTGTCTACTCTCTTAGCCATTGGGAACTTTCTAAATGGAACTAATGTAAGTGTTTCATATCCCTCATCCTGCCACCTTCCCTTGTCATGGACCTCCTGAGCCTCCTTTGCTGGTGGAGGTTGTGTCTCTGGCGCCCCAGTGTACAATTGCACAAGCAATTTTCATAGCTTTATGTGAAATCTAGAAGAGTTTTGTCCTTTATCAATCTGGGCCTATTTATGACAACCTGTATCTTACTATAAATAAGAAACTTAGAAAAATGAGCACACAGTTCCTTATGAGTTCAGCTCTCTCAAACCTGATATGAAAGATATTTTCTTTCTTTTTTAACTACCGGCCAAGGAGCCAAAAGTAATAAGACAAGGGGAGGAAGAATTTGTGAACACCCAGATGCTAGAGACCCATACCCACAGGACCCTGTTTGGCAGGTGGAGCCCTGGGACAGTCCGTGACAGACCCTGATGGAAACAGGCAGGGCTTCTGTCATTTCTCAGTGTACCTGGTCCATGTGTGATCAGCCACAGGTAATGGGCTGTGTGTCTGAGCTGCTGCACCGATGGAGGAAACTGAGCTTCTCCAGCAGGGTGTTGATTGGTGCTTTTCTAAGAGCCTGCATCAAACTTGCTCTGTTTTTGCACCAAACAGGCCAAAGCATTTGAATTAAGCTACCTCGAGAAGGTTCCAGAAGTCAAAGACACCGTGCACAAGCAGTCACTTCTCCACCACGTGTGCACCATGGTGGTGGAAAACTTCCCAGATAGCTCTGATCTGTACTCGGAGATCGGAGCCGTCACCAGGTCAGCCAAGGTACGTCTGTGGACGGATGAGTGTGGGCTGCGCCTTTTCCCCCACTGTGCTGGCTCTGGGCCGGCCATCTCTGAGGCACAGGCTCTGAAGGAAAGCGCCCAAGTGCTGCTGGCATCCTCTGCCCTAGAGCTTGTGAATTCGACTCGTCTTATGCCATTTCTAATGGACTTTTAAGATGGTTTTCCCATCTCAGATTTGCCATCAGATTCTTTCCTACTGAGAAATGTGAGACAAGCCTGTCATCCGAGTACTCACCCCCACGCCACTGTTAAGCGGGGCTAAGTGCCAAGCACATTAAAGCTCTCCAGCCTGTGTTCAAAGACAAGCTGTGACTCTTCCTAAGACTCCCTTGCAGTAAGATGTGGAACCAGCACACAACACCCTGGTCCATTCTCTCCCCATTGGCCCTCCCCGTGATTTTACATGAAGGGGGCAGTTTGTTTGGACTCTAAACAGTACATGGTGCTGGTGGAAATGGCTGGAGCCTGGCTACTCCTAAAAGAAGAGCAAAGTGACACGTGAATACTGACATCACCCCACGGCTCCAGGGAATACAGGAGGCTAGTAACACGGGTTCTCATCCCTCACATTGCACCTGCTTGTATTACCTGCTTGTGTAACAAATGACTTCCAAAACTAGAACTAGTCGTTTAGCAATGTACTGGTATCTTAGGGTTGCTGTGACTAAGTATTCCAAACTCAGTAGTCTAGAAAAACAAGATTTATTTTTGGTCTCACTATTATAGAAGCTAATAGTCTGTGATAAAGATGGTGGCAGGGTTAATTCCTTGTGAAAGGGAAGTCTGTTCCATAGTTCTCTACTAGTTCCTGGTGGTTTGCTGCCAACTCTTCTGCCTTCGTCTTCACGTGGCATTCTTCCTCAGTGTCTGTGTCCAAATTTATGCTTCTTATAATGACACCAGTTATATTGAACTACAAGTCCACCCTCGGTATGATTTCATTCTAATGTAAATAATTATATCTGAAACAACCCAATTTCTAAGTATTATCACATTCTGATGTATATAGAGGGGATAGGAGGTTTGATTTCAATGTATGAATTTTTGAGTGATAAAAGTCAACCCATAAAAGACAGTAAGAATGTTAATGTCATGAATGGTTCTGCCTTGGTGTCTTTGATTAGATTTCAGTCAGGCTGAAGTCTAAGGAAGCCTGTTTTCAAGGCTGCAGTCACCTGAAGGCTTGAGTGGCCTTGGAGAACTGACTCAATTGCTTACTCGTCGTGTCTCACGGCAGAGGAGATAACCTCACTTATTATGTGACGAGCGAGAAAGGGCCATGGCAGAAGCTCTAAGTCCTTTTTATGACCTAGTATTTATGTCTCATCCGTTAGAACCAAGTTACTTAATCTGCCACACATCCAGAGGGCAGTATATTAAACTTTACATTTTGAAGGGACACGAATCAAAGAATTTGTGACATGTTTTTGAAAGTATCATGCTCATTTGTGTATTTCCCCACCACAGCCCTCTCCTCCTGGCCTGAGTGGTCCCACAGGTTCCCAGACTACTTTGATTAAGATAAGACTTTGCAGCTTATGTCTCCCTACTCCAGTGGGTGACCCATGTGGAGCAGTCCTCAGGAGAGAACTTTTGTAAGGACTTCCTTCTTGTACCTAGGCCAGGCCTGCTTTCTCCCTGACATGGAACTTGTTAGGACCAAGCCTAAGTTTAAGTTACACAGGTTGGGATCTTAGACTCTGGAGCCAAGGGAGTTTTGGGTTCAAGTCCCAGTTCCACCACTTTCCATTGGGGCAGTCTCACTGGCTACTTGACCTCACTCGGCATCAATTTGTCCTCTCCAAAGTTGAACTTGTAACAGATTCTGATGATGTGAAGACTCAGTTCATGTACATCATGAAACAGTCTTGCAGTCCTCTCAAATGATGCAGCATTAAACTCAATGCTCAAACTGCTTTTCCTTAAAAGTTGCCCACCGGGTTGGCAGTGAGAATACTTCTACTTCTACCTTAGGAACGCAGATTTCTCTCTTCACAGAAAACCATATCTCACATCATATCTCCCTGCCCACACAGTAGTCACTGCAGTGCTGAACCAGTATCATCTGGTTAGACTACACAACGCTATGGGGTACATGTATTTAAGATGAATTGAAGTCATTAGATGTATTAAAGTGTTTAAAACTTTTGTGGATCAAGGTCACTGCCAGATGCCAGCAAGGACAGATTCAGAGTTGTAGTTAGACCTATTACAACTGGCTTTAAATCTCCTAGACCTCCTAGACATCACTTGTCAATCCCCAGTCATCTGGATCCTTTTCTGGACTTCTCTTTGAACTGTTCAAGCATTTTCTAAATTTACATTTGTTATCCACTCAGCTGAATGCCAGATTTCCCCCCTTAGCTCCATTGTATCTTTGGAAATTGAAGATTTCTTTAGTCTGTTCAGAGGATTCTTTCAGTTGTAAACAAACCATTTTGCTCAAAGTCCCATGAACTTGCTTACCTGAATCTCAGAGTTCTGCTTAAACTTGTCTCCTCTTATTTGACTCTTTGTGTGATGTCTTGCCTGGACCCCTTGATATTCTCTGTGGTAAGCATGTCTTCCTCCTGTCTGGTGGCAGATCCTCTCACAGAATAGACGTTCGTTGACTTGACTATTCCATTCTTTCTGACTGGAGGTCTGAGGCTGCCCCATCAAGACCCCTTGACTCTTATCCAGTCACTTGGAACCTTGTAACCACAGTCAGTGGCATCTAAGCAATGGCAACTCACCTCCACATCCTTTCTCTTTCCCCTTCTGACTTTGGTCTGACTCTTCTTTTCTCCCAGCATTTCTCTGCTGCCTCCCTTTAGCTCACTTGTTTGCCTCTGCCTCTGTTTCCCCCCCCACTCATCCTGCATCTCCCTTCATTAAACACCCTCAAGTGTATCTTTTCTAGACTCATCCTGTGTTCACACAAACTTTAGTGTAGAAATTTATAAAAAGCATTATGTTAAAAGTCACCTCAGGCTACTTCAATCAACTCAAACCATTATCAGTTTCCTCAAGGTCACGTTAATTTTTGGTGCTCATGGCTTGCAGCTCCTGGCAGGATCACATGCTCTAACAGCACATACACATGCATGTTTGCCTTCACTGGGTGGGTTCCATGTGTCCCTGGTGCTTGATACTCACCTGTGTAGATGATGATCCTCCTTGAGAATAGCAACTTGGTCAACATTTGTCATTGTGTTATTGGAATGTGGACTAAAGACTGGGAGCACTAGTTTCTCCATGGGGTTGGTCGAATGAGTTAGTGGGTGGATAAATAAAATAATTTGTCACACAGTGTAAAAGAGATGATGGTGAAGAGAAACTGGCTGCCCCTTAGCTGGCCCCGGCAAAGCGGAGCCATCCATGTGTGACTATGGTGAGTTTCTCCAACCTCCCGTGAAATATCATCTCTGAGAACGAGAGTGCTTTGAAAAAATTTATGAGACATCTGCTCAGTTCATCTTGTACTAGGCTTCCTTGATATCATGTTTTAATTTACAGTTTCCAAAGACTTTTCTAAGATTTCTTTCCAAATAATAAAAAAAAGAGGTGAGACTTGTGTTGGGTTCATTTGGAGAACAGTTCTATCACTGAATAATTTGATGTCGAGATAATGACAAATACACATGTGGGTAATTTTGGGGCCATAAATATGTTTGTATTTCAAGATGTAAATTTGGTTTTGATGTTGATTTCTTCCCAGAGGCAGTTTGGTTTCCTGGTCTAGGTTGGTGTCTGGTTATTTCAGTGCATTTGCCATGTTCTCTCTGTGATTTTCAGGTTGACTTTGATCAACTTCAGGATAATTTATGTCAGATGGAGAGAAGATGCAAAGCTTCATGGGATCACCTCAAGGCAATTGCAAAACATGAAATGAAACCAGTTTTAAAACAACGAATGTCCGAGTTCCTAAAAGACTGTGCAGAGCGAATTATCATCTTAAAGATAGTCCATAGAAGAATAATTAACAGGTAAGTGAGTGGAGGAACTCATAAATATCCACTAAATGGCATGTTGAAAATACTTTGTACCTTTGAATGTTAAAGGGACAAAAGTTATCCTGTAAATTCAGGATACATGGTAAGTGCACTTTTGATGCACAAGCTTCACTTTTCTTACACATGTGACAGTAATATGATGCCATTGACTCTTGACATTGGAAAGGATCTCAGAGAAAATGTCATCCCAAAATCCTACTTAGTCAGGAATTAACACCTGACAAGTTGAGCCCTGAGTCTCGAGCCTGCTTCTGTAGAGGGCTGTGAGAGTTTTCTTCCTTTCAGGCAGCTCAACTTGTTATTAGCTCAACTCCTTTATATCATCTGTCATCTGTCCTCGGAGGCCACCCACTCATTGCTTCTCTGATGGTGGCTTAGTGCAGCACTCTGCCCGGGTGAGCCGAGGCTGGCTATTGGACTGTCCTCAGAGTCACAGAATGTGGAAGACACAGCAGTGATGTCAGACCTGTTGGACTATCCTCAGTCACAGAATGTGGGAGAGTGATGTCAGACCTACTTGCCTACAGCTGTGAGCCCTGTATGTAAACCTGATGGGCACAGGAATATCCAGGGCTCTTTCACCTGTGAGGGGCAGCCAAGGACCTTGGAACTTCCAGGCTCCCAAGCAAAGATATTTCCTTCTACCCACCAATGCTTTCCTTTCCTTTGCTTGTCACACAGCCTCCTATGTGACCAGGGTCATCCTGGCCTCTAGGGTCTGAGTGCTCTAGGATCTGGGCTGTTAGCTGGGTAAGCACATGTGTACACCTGTAGGCTCTGGTCTACCTGGGGCAGGTGGTCTGATAACAACGCCTCTGAAGCAGGCCTCCCTGCAGTTCTGTGCAGGTAGCCTGTCCAGCAACCTCAGACTGCGCTGGTGCCATCTCAGCCACAGTCTGTTCCCAGATCTGCTCCTCCAGCAATTCCCAGTCTTGTTCTTGGGACCTTTATCATTAATTTTTAACCAGGTGTGATATTTTCATTTATCTTGGTACATTTCTCATTTTTTATTATTTCATCCCTCTTCCCTTCCCCTCCCTCCTTTCACCTTCTTTCTTTCCTTTGCATTCCCTAAAGCCAGACAGACCTTTTAAGAACCTGATTTCGTGTGTGTGTGTGCACGTGCACACACATGTATGTGTGCATCCTCTCTCCCCTTATACCATTTGCTGCTTTTGGTTACTATACTGCCTGGGTCTTGATCCAGACTGTTGAGAAGGGGGTGGTCTGAGAGGAATAAAGAACAGAATATTCCCCCTAGGTTGACAATTCTCTATCCATTAGCACTTCTGGAATTTAGTTGCTTGACCTAAACCCACCTCCCTGTGCTTCATCGAGACCTCACAGCTGCCCTCTGGGTAAGAAGATCTTCTTAGAGATTTTTGTCAAATTTCTTCTTGAAACTAAAGTACACTGTGCTTTTAACATGGTTAAAGAGGGAAGGCAGGGAATGTGAGCTGCTTTGGCCCTCCATGCTTTGTATGATACAAATGATTTCCAACTTAAAAAACTGCTCAAATAAACAAATAGTTTCCATTTGAAATGTCTTGAAGCTGGAGCAATTTTTCGAAAGTCTTGTAAAGCTATTATGCCTGGTCACAGTAACCACTTTATCCCTGACAGATAAAAATTCATTTATATTCATTTGTGGATACCTCTGTTCCTTAGGGCATAATGTACACACATATATGTGTGTATGTGTATATATGTCTATATGTATACATATATGCATTCTCCTTGGTCAGCTGGTCACTGAATGATGGTTGCTCTTAGGTGACCTGAATCCCAGCCTACACTCCCTATTAGCCACCCAACTGGGATGACCATGGTAAGCCAAGAATTCACTAATATCACGGGGGGTAGAGGAAAGGGCATGGCACAGAGGTGGGAGCTCCAGGCAGTGGCCAAGCCAAAGTAGCTAAATCACTCCACTCTGGGGGCAAGTGAATCATGAGCGGAGCCCATCTACCCCGTAGCTAGAACTGATTAGAGCAGGATTTTCCTGTTGAAAGGGACATGAGGGACTCAGAACCCCAGGGATTGTGGTTTGTCTTTCCCTCCTTTACTACCAAGATTCCCAGGAGCCTAGGACTGCTGAGCTCTAACTGGTTCCCCTTTCACAGTGAGGGACTGACAGCCAGAAAAGAGAAAATCCTTAGTTCACAATCATTCATTGGATGGCGGGTGAAAGCTTTGCAGATAAAGTATAAGTATAAGACGTCACATAAGTATAAGACGTCACATTAGAAAGCTGCAAACAGGTAAACCTTCGTCTTTTTTTTCAGCCCATGCAACTATGTAATTAACGAGCCACTTAACAGGGCACTTTTTAAAAAGCAGCAGTGGTTATACAGATGTTACTCCATGACTCTTGGCATGGAAGATATCAAACCTCCACAGTGGCAAAGTGGCAGTCGATTCTCACAACACCCAGACCTCCACGGCAGCTCAGTGTTTTATGTTCCCACTATTTTCTACATCCTCACTGGCACTGGCTATTTTCTGTATTTTAGCAATCCTCATAGTATGAAGTAATATCTCAATGAGCTTTGACTTGTGATTCTCTAATGACTAAGAATGTTGAACATCTTTCCATGTGCTTATTGCTAATCTGCATATTTTTTGAGGATTATCTCTCATTAAAACCTTTGTTTATTTTTTATCTTTATAATGTAAGGGGTGCATGGTTTTTCTATATGTACTTGGTAAATCCCTTACCAAACATATGACTTACAAATATATTCTCCCATTCTGCAGCTTCTTTGTACTCTTGATGATGTCCTTTGGTGCACAAAAAGAGTTTCATTTTGATTAAGTTTCAATTTCTCTGTTTTCTTTAGTTGTTAATACTTCTTTTGGTATCTCTAAGAAATCATTGCCTAATCCAAAGTCATGCACATCTATACATTTTGCGTTCCCTTGGGAGTTTTAGCTAGCTAAAACATCTTTGGCTTTAATAGCATTTTTAAGTCCCCTTTAAGACATGTTATACGCTTCACATTATTATTCTTTGCAAAAAGAATAAGTTCATGTCCCTCATTTGGAAACAACCTAGCCCCTATTCAAACTGTAAAAGTTAGAGGGACCAGAGCCAAAGTGTTTGTCTACATATAGTGGTATTGTTTATATAATATTGTTAATTCTTCAGAAAAATTTCCCTCTGTCTCCTAGTAACTTGTTCATAATCTGATAACTTAAAATTGGAAACTTGTTTGCTTATTTCATTTATTAAAAAAATTTAAATAAGAACCCAGTAAAGTTTAATTTACAAATTAAATAGCTAGAAAGAACTGAGAAATCTAGTTTGTATAGTTTGTTTGGTGTATATTAATTCAATTAAGATTACGATATTCAAGAAAATTTTTTTCTCAGTGAAAGAGTTCACTGTGAAAGAGTTTTCTGTAAAGGCTCTGTAAGTAACTTTATAATTATTTTTATGGACCATCCTTTAACATGATATAACATTTAACATTGTCTATTCTAAATATTCATGAAAGCAGTTCCCATGGAATTGCTAAGCAACATTTTTTTATTCCTTATTTAGTTCTTATATAATCAAGAGATGGCAATATATTCCTGACATTTTTTTCATTTTGCTTTTGATATTTGGAAACATAACTTTTATTTTGTAATCTATTTTACATCCTTCTTCATTTTTTACTTTCTCGTTTTTCTTACAAAACTTTCATATGTTCATTTTAGAAGAGATAGCTAGATAAAAAAGAATCAGTAATTAATTTGAAATTCTCCCACACACACAGATAGAAGCTCCATCAGTGAGAAAGTGACTTGAATTGGACTACTGTTTGCATATTCATTGAGAAGTTTCTTCAATCTCAAAGCCCAGAATTAACAACAATATTGTTGACTGATTGGTTTCTTACTTTTTTATTATTAAATTTGTTATTTTTATTAAAATAACATTGTTTTATAATGTTACAGATTCAGAAGTAAAAGCTCTTCAGGTGTATATTACCTTATCACCCAGGCATCTATCTATCTATAGATTGCCAGAGTCCATATATATATATACATAAACTATTTACATATTTTCTTCATATAATTTTTAGTTTCTTATTCTTGTGCAGTTTCATGTTAAGCCAGTATTTCCAGACTATTTTTCTTGATAGCTGAATTTTGTTCCTTAAAACTGAAGCTGTTGTACTGTTGTTTTCCATTCCAGATTCCATTCCTTTTTGCTCTTCATGGGCCATCCACCATATGCAATCCGGGAAGTGAACATAAACAAGTTCTGCAGGATCATTAGTGAGTTTGCACTGGAGTATCGCACCACCAGGGAAAGGGTTTTGCAGCAGAAGCAGAAACGGGCCAACCACAGAGAGAGAAATAAGACCAGAGGAAAGATGATCACCGATGTAAGTGTCATAAGATCAATCCCTTTTTGTCCTTTATTTTGAAAGTCTGGAAAGCCATAAACCTTCCCACAATTTGGGGGCTGAGCTTCTTTTAACTAAAAAAAAAGTTTCCTCTTTCAAAAAGTGCCTACATTTCTGTGAAAATCGGCTGCGTAATGAACTAGGAAGTAGGGCACATAAAATTAAAGACGTGGCTGATGGAAGAACTTGTAACCTATGTTGGTGTAGTGTATGATGCTGAAGACAGCAAATGCATGATTTCATTTTCAACCTCTGATGTGGAGAAAATTGGAAGAGAAGGAAAAAAGGTAAAAAAAATGCTACTTAGCATAAAAAGAAATTATTGATTCGGGAATTGGCTTAGCATTTGGATCACCATAACAATGCTATATGACCTGTCAGTCATTGACCATCCTTCTCAGCCTTTGGATAGACAAATAACTGATGTGATTGCTTGAAGACAAAGTATGATGGGCTCTGGCAATCCCTTTGGTCCAGAATATCTAGATGGGAAGAGATCCCAGAAGGCAGTGAGTCAGCAGTAGTTTGCTGCAGTCCCTTGGGAGTCTGCACTCACCTGCATACCCCTGCTTCTAGGCATTTCCCCATTTCTCCTCCATCAGCTCTGAGCCCACCTGGGCCTCAGGTGCAGTGCACTTTCAGATGGGGGGGTGCTTACGTGGAGGGGGAAGAAATGTGTGAAAATGCCAGTGACAGAGACACGCCACAAAGGTGCCTCCTGATGTGCCTTCATGAAGCTTATCCCTTCTGTATAGAGATATTTGAGAAGTGTATTGGCTCTCAAGACGTACTAGGTAAAGGATTAAGGTGCAGGGAATGCCAGGCCTCAGCTGGATGGAAGCCAGGGGGATTTCGTTGAGGAAGAATAAAGTCCATTAAGAAAACCTCAGTAGGGCCGTCTTCTTAGCCAGATGAGTATCCATACTGTAGGAGAAACTGAGTCCGAACTGCTGTCAGATTTCACAGGGGTTGATCTTCGTGAGGATTGGATGCATTATCTTGTACATTTTTATTGGAATTTTAAGGCAGTTCTGGGAACCGTAACTTGAGCCCCCCACCATTCACTGCAGTCAGACCCCTTGTTTGGAATTTCCAAGATCTTAAGGGGTGATCAGCTCACCCTTCTACAGCAAAGGCCTTTTCTAGAGCCTCCTGGCAGTTCTGAGTGCCAGAATCATCTGCTGAGTCTCGCATCTCCTCTCCTGAAGTCTGTGAGCCTCCAGGAGCCAGGCTCAGGAAGCTAACTGAATCCACTTGAGCAACTATGGCCCACATTTTATTCCAAAACGTTATTTTTAAAAGTTTTAAAAGGGGATTGCTTATTTTCGTGGAAATGAGACACATTGGAGGGTGAAGAATACAAGCCCAATATGCTTATAATTATGAAGACACATCAAAATATCTTGCCAAATTCTTAAGATTTTATTCAGATCCCACTAATTTCAAAATTCTGTTCTCTGCAAGCATTCAGCTTTCCTATTTATAAACATGGACAAATGTGTCTAGAGTTTGATTCGAAAGTATTTAAATTCCCATTAAATTCTGGACAGTGCAAGCTTTGAGCTTCATTCTCTAAAGAGAGTAACTGTCTTTAGTGGGTAAAAAGGCATAATTCATGTGGAAAGATTGCCATCTGCTGGACAGCCGACTATGGTCACTTAAGTCAGTACAACTTAAGTCAGTACAACTTCAAGATCTCAAACTCCCAAAGTTTGCTCTCAGCACTTCTAGCCCCAGGCTGTCACCATCTAGTTAGAAAAACAACGTATACACAACTTAAACCAGTGGGCACAAAAGCAGGCAGTATATTAGCATTGGAAACCGCTTTTAGGGGGAAAATGTATATGTTTTTAATTTACACGTGGAGAAAAATGAAGATGGATATGGTAGCAATTAAAACAGATGATTTTAGGGAAAAAAACTTAGATTCTAAGACAGAGAAATCTGAGTAAATCTGAAAATTCCATATTTGGGGGTGGCTTCCTATCTGCTGGGTGTCTTTTCCCTCCCCCTCTTGCTAAATATGTAAAAAGTCTCCTTTCTTGTAACAGGAGACATCAGCTCCAGGGAAAAGTCTGAGAAGACAAGTAATTTCTGATCCTTTTATCAGAAACTGGTTCTAGACTTACAAAATAGACCAGGTAACACAGGTGACCTTGGCCCTTCCTGCTGTTCTCAGACTGAGGATGACAGGCCTCAGAACTAGATTGAAGCAGAGATTTCATTGAGGAAGAATAAAGTCCATTAAGAAGACCTTAGTAGGCCTGCGTTCTGTACCCAGACGAGTACCCATATGGTAGGAGAAACAGAGTCCCAACTGCAATCAGGTTTCCCAGAGGTTGACCTGGGTTGAGAACTCAGGCTATGGGTAAGTCACTGGGCCCCTCCAGGAAGGCTGTGGTAGTCCCAGGTGAGGCTCTTTACCTCTCTAAGCTCCTCACTTCCTCTTCTAGGAAAAAGGAAATAGTGGTTATTGAGAGGACTAGAGATCTTACATGTAGCACCTTGCATAGTATTAATTGCTAAGAAAAAGAAAAGCCAACTATCCTGGTTAAAGAAATAAGCTCAAGGACTTAAAAAAATTAGCAAAGCAGGACTGTCATCTCATGTGTTGATGCTTTTGATAGGAACAAGATGAACTAGAAGAATTTGGTCATTTCAGCTCCCAAACGTTCAGTCAGTTCTCAAAAACCTGTGTCTGATTTGCTGACCTGCCTGGTAACCTCTGTGGAAGCACGTAAATTGAGGGTGTGTTTAATTTAAAATCAAGAGGTTGGCATGACTGTCACCCTCCATTTATTTTTAGAAAAGGGATATTTTATTCAAAGTTACTTCAAGAACTTTTATCTGGCAATAATTTAAAGTATACATGACTGCTCAGACAGCTGTCATGAGGTTAAGGTTTTCAAGGGAACCGACTTTCATGTTTTTGAGCAGGCAGTAATAAGTACATTTTGCTTGGTCACTGGTGACACTTGTCCTGTTGGGTCTGTGTGTGAAAGGATTCATGAGGTCCAGCCATGGCAGCCTGAACAGGGAAGATCCAGCACTTAGGATGAGAGTGGGATGACAGGTGACAGGCAGAACTAGGCAGATAGAGACTGGTCTGCTTCCTGGGACCACAGTGAGGTGATGATGATGGCAGATTCTACGAGACACACGAGGGGCACAGAGATGCAAGTGGAGCTGTAGTGGGCATGGAGCCAGCTGGCTGACTGCATTATGGGCAACCTCAGGAGATTGGCCTGGAGTTCCAACAGGTCCCTTGTGACTCATCAGGACTGGTCCTGAGGCTCACGAAGCGAATGTCCAGCTGAGGGTACAGGGTATACCTGCAGGGTCTAAGAAGGTATATTCCAGTTGCAGTCACCAAGTTCTTTATTTGGAATTTGATGTGACATTGAAATGATCTCATCTGTGATGACTTTGTGCCTTCTAAGAATCCCTTCTGTCTTTTCTATCCTGTCCTGTCCTTTTTGGTAGACTGATGAAGAAGATGAAATTGAGGTATGACTATTTATAAACATAAAAAAAAGTCACATTTGATCTACCCAGGCGTGCTGTAGAATCTAACAAGCAGCATGAAGTGTCAGCACCATTCAGTGCCTTAAAGCATGCATGGATGTTTTCTGGTTGGTTTCTGTGTGATCACTAACCTCCTCACTAACACCCATGCTGGGTGTGCCAGGGACCAAAGGGCTGACTGCATTTTCCAAGCTGTCCCTGAATCCAGGCCCTGTCAACAGTGGCAGGATCAAATGGGAAAAAAGAGGATTTTCCTTCTGGCCTCTATATGAACCTTCTGGCAACTCAAGTAGGAGAAGTAAATTCTAGAATAACCGCACAAAGAGCCCTACAGTCAAAGAGGAAGTGGGCAGTGGTAGCCAGCACTACAGTCACCAGATATAGGTAGCCTCTGACTTGTGCTCATTTTCAACTGGCATCTGTTGGATCCATTTGTATCCATGTGTGTTGATGGGGTGGAATGGCAGGACTCTTCCTTCTGAACCTGGTACAGATGCCAGGACCAGAGCCCAAGTCAAGGCTGATGGCCTTGGACGAGGAGAGACTAATGCAGATGGTGTCTTGGCCTCTGTCACCAGGACTGGGACACTAGATGAAAACAGGAAGCCAGGACCCTGTGGCTGCTCTTTGCAAATGCTAATTTGATGGACTTTATTTTCACCCAGATGTTTGGCATTGTGTTCATATGGCCTGATGTTCTAGCATAGCTCTGCCCTGACTCTGTGTTTAGCTAGCATTGGAGAATATCCTCATGAGCATGTAATGCTTATTAAAACAACTAAACTTTTTGACACAACCAGAAGTAGTAAGTGTTGCCAAACTCAGTTTCACTGGGAATTTCTATGTCACACTCTGATCTGAGTCCTGAAACTACCCCCCTTGGGATCTTTGGCAAGTCATCTCATCTTGAAGGGTTCAATTTCCTTCTCTATCAGCATAGTGTTAGAATTGGAAAATTCATCTCCAGCCCTTAATGTTGGGTGAATCTGTGACCAAATCCCACTTTTTCAAAAAAATTTTTCTTAAAATTCTACCATTATAAGTGATCTATAAGAAAAATAAAACCCCTTTTTTGACATTGAAAAAAAAAATAAAGCTCATTACATTTGATAAACAGGGCATATTTCAAATCTCATACAGGGAGTTTGGTGTTAGAAGCAGATATGGTTCCTGAATTCTTCTGAGTTACTCATTTCTTCAAACCCCATCCCCTTTTCTGTAAATAAACCCTTTATTAACCTTTTTGTGTGTAACTGCAGTTGAGTCTTATTATAATTCCCTCTTAGGTGCACAGGTGAGAGCTCACAGTCAGGCAACCTATTTCGTATCGGGGTTGCCCTGTCACACTAACTCTGCTTTGTCTTTCAGTCAGGCAAGTTCTCCGGCAGTTCTCCCGTGCCCCCCAGCCAGCCACAGGGCCTGAGCTACGCTGAGGATGCTGCTGAGCATGAGAACATGAAGGCTGTGCTGAAAACCTCTTCGCCTGCAGTGGAGGACACCACCCCAGTGCTGGGCATGCGCATGCGCAGCCGAGCCAGCCGTGGTAACTTGGGTGGGGCCAGTCTTCCCTTCTTGCTCATGCGTGATAGGTTGCTGCCCTTGTCTCTGACCCTTTATCCCCTCAACCTCGTGGCATTATATGTAAATATCTTGGGTATAGTGTTTTTGATATGTGGCCCCAAGATTCTGAGAAAGTAAACATCACCAGGAAGAATAGGCATAAATGGTAATCAGGCAGCAAGGTCAGCTCCCCACAAAAGAAGGGGTGATTAAGAAAACAAAACACAAAACCGTATTTAGAATGAGGTCGTGTAGGAGTGCCACCCTCACAAAGCTGAAATCTACAAACCTGGACTTAGGACAAGCTGGTCCTTTTAAGTGCTCCAGGATACCTCACAGCGCAAGCAGACTCCTAGAGAAGTAGAATCAGTGGGGCTCAGTGGGGCTCAGTGGGAAGATCAGATGATACCCTCATATCTGACCCAGTGTTCTGAAACAGATTATGAACAAATGCAATGGATGTAGGTTTGTCTGTTTTGAAAAGGGTAGTTTGGCAATACAAAGTGAGACACAGAATGACAAATCAATAGGGAAAGGGGAAAACAAGAAATCGCAGGGCAAAACACAATTGCAGTATCGATTGCTGTCCCCTCAGGAGGGCACTCACTCCCAGACTGCAGTCCCTATTGAAAGCTGTGCGCGAGGCAGCCTCTTACCTCTAATGAGAATACCTGGGTCTTCCCAAGAATGCAGAAAACTTTGGGAGCAATTTCAAATATTAATTTCTGAGAAGAATCAATTTTTAAAGAATTTTATGATGTTGGAAAAAACGAGTCTTCTCATAGAAACAAGTAGATCAATTCCCTTGGGTAAAAGCAGAAAAAGCACAATGTGCTCTTCAGTGTCTGGCAGTGCTGCTGAGATGCCCGCCGTGATAAAACAGCACAAACGATTTTTAAAGATAACAATGAAAGACTTTGTCATTGGAAAACATTGTCTTCTGACCACAGGCTCAAACATATGCAGTGATGGAGCATTTAAAATCCTGGTACTACTTTTGAGAAGTGTTATTTAAGTATTTAATTGACTTGTATGAATTTTATAGCAGAAATCATGACTAAATTATAGCACATTACATATTTGCAGTAAAATTTCAACTGCAAACATGTGTCTATGACTGGATGGTGCCTAGCTATTCCCAACTATTTCCATCATTAAGCCAAACACCAAAAGTTTAAATAATAGTATGGGAGGAGAATTAAACATTTTAAGATACACATTAATAATTTTCCCCCCTCTGATCTGGGAAAAGCTGATTATTCTTCAACTGGTCTTTAATCAGATTCAGCACACCTAAATTACTTAGACATAGAGTTTGAGAGCATTCACTTATGGGCTTTGTAAATTACATGCTTAATATAACAGGAAGTATAAGTAGAGGAAATTCACAATTTTGAGCACACTGCACATAGTTCTTCTTGTAAGAGCATCTTACCCATTTTATGGAAGAGATTTTAATAAGGAAATTGACCATAAAGTCACAGTTCTTGGTATATTCATTTCTAACTGATCATGATTCGGGAATCATGTTTGCATGGTGCTTTTGCCATCCTTGTCTATAAAGACAGAAGCTTTTATGCCAGACTTGGAATTGCACTTTTTCTCTTTACAGGAAGTTACTCATGAATGCATTTTTCTGGTTACACAGCAGATAAATGTAGCAAAGTAAAAATTACGACACTTCTCCCTTTGCTAGTTGAACAGGGCAATCTTGCGGTTTTAAAGCTTAAGTAACAAAGATAAGCTACATGTTTCAAAATTCATTGGTTCTACTTAAGTTACATTGGGGGTAGAAGGAAACAAGTTAGTAGTCCACCTTGGACAGAGTGTCTAGCAGACAGCTGTCTCTGGACATTATGGGGACGAGCACTTTTGCAAAGCCAGAGGTAGGGCAGTAGAGAGGTGGGAGTCTGCCTCGCATGACCACAGGGTCTGACACAGGGAGACAGTACATCTAGGGGTCGAAAACTAAGGGACAGCGAGAGGCAAGAACATTGCTGTATTGCAGGGTAGTGTGGCCCAAGTGCCTCAAGCTCGAGTTTGTGAGAGTTCGGAGTTCAAAGTTAATCGCCAAAGCCTGGAGCCACAGGTCATACTGGTTGCCCGGCAGTGGGGACAGTGAGCTTTGCCTCTGTGTGGTTTGAGCTATTGGAGGAGCATTGCTTTTTATTTTATTCTATTTTTGGAATTTTCCTTTCCTCTGAGTACACTGTGCTCTCTGGCAAATTCCTCAGGATCCTCTAGTTCATGGACGATGGGAACTGATGACTCGCCTAACGTCACGGATGATGCGGCTGATGAGATCATGGACCGCATCGTCAAATCGGCCACCCAAGTGCCCAGCCAGCGAGTGGTACCTCGGGAGAGGAAGCGCTCTCGCGCCAACCGGAAATCTCGTAAGTGCCTTGGAAGAGGAGGACTCACCCCACAGGACCTGCCTCCCTTTCTACATGACCCATCAAAGATAGACTCAGGCCAGCTCCATTGAAATTTTTTAAAAAGATTTATTTATTTATACATGAATTGGGGTATGAACCAGAAGTGTGGGGGGTGAGAGGATTCACCAGAGTCAGTGGGGAGCGGAACAGGCAGATGTACTGAAACACTGCTGAAGGCGGGGGAGGCCTGCCATGCCATGTGGTTTACCTCCCTGGCTGGGGATTGAACTCATGCTGCAATGACTGTGGACAGCCCCACAGCACTGTGCTTTAACTCACTGGTCACCAGGGAGGGCCCCTCCTGTGAATTGTTAGGGGTCCCTGAGGGCCCGTCTATGCTTACCAATCAAAGGTTTTGTGCCTGGCAATCAAGATGACCATTGTGGAATATAGGGCAGTGGCAGCCACTTCTGTCCAGTGTACCCGCCATTTCCCACCACAAACTTTGTCCCCAGAAAGGTCTGAAAGATGCTTATTTTATTTTCTGGTGGAGTAATGAATACTTCATTGGCTAATGCGTTTGCCATTTCTGTTAAAACATCTGGTAGTGATTAGTTAACCTCACAGAGAAAAGGATTTGTTGTTGTTTTGAGATAGCAGCACTGTACATGATGTTAGGGGTAATGGTTCATTACTATGCCAGTGCACCCCTAACCTCTACCACAGACCAGTGGGCTCCCTCCGCCTTTGTTCCACCCAGCCCCATCCCACTTTCCCGATAGTGGTCTCAGTTCTGCAGTGTGGCTAGGGTTCATTTTGGTTTAGTTTTGTCTGTTCCTCTGTTTTCTTTCTTTATATTCCATATAGGAGTGAAATAATCTGGTATTTGTCTTCCTCCTTCTGATTTGTTTAGCATACTTTGCTTGGCTCTGGTTCCCTCTATGGTGTCGTAGGGGGCAAGATTTCATCCTTTAGGATAGCTGAGTTGCATTTCCTCATGTGTGTATAGGCTGTCTCTTCTTTGTCCACTCTTTATTCTGGAAGGCCCAGGGTATGGGCTTCCATGGGTAACTTGTCTGTGAAGGCAAAGGGTGTATGTGGTCCTGCCCTCTGTTCTGGAGAGAACCAGATTCTCAGAGAGACATAATGTCACTGAGAATAATAACACAGTCATAATTAATTTTCCTCTTCAATCTGGCCAGAGAAAGACTTTGTCTGTTTTTGTGGCTGACATAAAATAATTTCCTGTGGTATCATTTTCATTCCAATCTTATGCAAAACAGCCATATATTCTTTTTATTCCTCCTGTGATGAAGTTACTACAACAAATACAACACTGCATGAATATGGGTATTTATCTGTAACAGGTTTAATTTATTAGTAATGGTACCACCAACAGAAATTTAAGATGGGGAAAGTTAATTTTGATTTCAGTTATAAAGGGATGATAAACTCTAGCTTTTCACAAGAAGTCAAATGAATAAGAACAAGCCAGTTGGCAAAATCCCCTTGAAGTAATGCTATATTTGATTTGTTTAATGGTGGCAGAGAAGCAAGTAGATAATGAATAACCAACATATTTGAGTGGTAATTCATTTGACTAAAAACAATGACATTCCAGCTATTGCAAAAAAAAAAAAAAAAACTAAACAAAATCCATCCCATAACTTAGACATTAATGACCTGCAAGTCACTTGAGAATCCTCAGATAATGAAATGTCTGCTTTCATGTGTGAGGTTGGTAATTAGGCCTCTCACATCCAATGTCCTGCCAAAACCTGAAATCTGTGGCCCATAGGGACACACTGAGGGCGTCTTAATCACTTCACTGTTTCCTTTTTCTCAGTTCTGCTGCATTTCCATGGGTGCCATCAGGGTCTTGTTAATTAAACTCTCTGAATTATTCCGTTGATAATCTAGCCTGTGAAGTGGTATGCCAGTTCATCTCATTGCTCCCCCAGATGCTAGTCGAAGCCCTCCAATTGACTGGTGGATGGGACCAAAATGGACCATTTTCCAAGCTCTTGTTTATTTTCCCCTTCTTTTGGTTTCTCTTCCTGTCCTATTGGGACAGGTATGTTGTGCTAGAGCTGTGTGTTCTCTTAGTTCTTCTGGGTCTTGGTCTTCCTTAGAAAACCCTACAGCTGGCCAGCATTTGAAGTATTCTTACAAATGATCAACCGAGTACTCAGCTAGTTAAGAACTAGTTAGGGATGGTCACTCAGCTAGTTTCTTAGTGGGAAAAGCCTCCTACTCTGACTGGAAAAGGACTGCAGAGCTCTGCTTTCACTTCATGCCTTCACTGTCAGCCCCTCCCACCAGGACACTCCCTTCCTCCTGCATCAGGGAACATCAGCATTTGTCACCAAGGGCCAGGGCCACTGTGCATGTGCATATAATGTAGCAGAAAGTTTATTTCTTATTTTGTTAAAGATTGATTTATTCATACAGAACTGGGGTACAGGCCAGAGGTGCAGAGGCGGTGAGAGGCTTCACCAAAGACAAAGTGGGGAACAGAAGGGGCAGATTGATGAAGTACACTGCGGAGGGGAACAGAGGGCAAGACAGGAGAGGTCTGCTGTGCCATGTGGGTCACCTCGGGGGCGGGGATTGAACTTGCACTGAAGTGAGTGTGGATAACTTGCAGTGCAGCATCCTAACCCATTTTGCCACCAGGGAGGGCCAGAAGTTTTATTTCTTTACAGAACATTGATACATGCTGCCTTTTATACAGAATTTCATGGAGAAAGAAAGTGATCAAATATGAAAAAAATTCTTGAATCTCTTAGGGAACACGGCAGTCTTGTCTCTCAAAATATAGCTTCAGCCCTGGATCTGAGTAGTATACCACTGAATTCAGTTTCTTTTCTTTTCCAAAGTGGTACTTGAAAATAACCAGGAATTTTCCCACTGATTTTATTAAGAAAAATATTTTTGCATTTTATTTAAATAGTTCTTCCTTATCTACTTGAACCAGTTTTATATTTTACAGGGCAAACTGACAGTGACAAAGTTTCAAGTAGAGGGTGGGCCCCACCCAGGCCCTGTTGCCGTGTCTGGACTGTGTCTAAGAAGTTGAGTTTAAATCAGCCAGATTGGGGACCTCAACTTTATGTTGTTGCTGGTTCTTAAAAATTTTTTTGCTTTGAGTCAATGTTAGGCTTAGACTACAGAAAAATTACAAAAATAGTACTATTGCCTCATAACTTTACCCAACTTCCCCTAATGTTAACATGCTTTATATGGTATAAGGTGATTTACCAAAACTAGAAATTAACACTGGTACAATACTGCTAACTGAACTATAGGCTTGATTGTGTTTCACCAGTTTTTCCACTGATGTTCTCTTTCTATTCCACCATCCTACCTAACACTGAGTCATTCTTCCTTCTTACCTCATTTTGATCCATGGAGGGCATTTCATGACTTGACACTTTCAAAAAGTAGTGATTAGTTAATTTCTAAAATGCCTTTCAACATTGCAATCCTTGATTTTACGTGGTAAAAAAAAAAATACAGATACAATGAACATAATTCAGATGGTTAGATAATTTACGTGAACCAAACCAATCCAAATCGAACAATCCATAGATGGTCTAACATTGATGCAATAAGAACTATGTACCTTAAAACAACAATTCCCTATATTTAAGTCCAAAGACTTAAAAACCATTGCGTGGTCCCCCATAGCAGACGGCTTCTCCAAAGAACAAAGAGAACAGCCGAGGAGGCGCTTACCTTCCAGCCATGAGGCAGGCCATTTAAGACATCTTGAAGTTCTGATGTCCCTGCAGCCCGAGGCAAACTGCTCTCAGTATACCTGGTGGAAAAGCTCTAGTCTCAGGGATGACAAACCAAACCACTCACGTGCTTCCAAATTGTTCCATGATGTATGCAAAAAAGGGAAGTGGGGGAGGGAACTCTGTCAGTGATTCAAGGTGATTCAGTCCCATGGAAGTTAAGTTGGTGGATTTCTCGTTAGTGTGGGAGGGTGTCAGAACATGTCCCCAGCCTCAGCCAGACGGGACTGTTTAGGGTGGGCTATGATTCAAGTCCTTGGTTCAGTTCCTTCTCTAACACTTACCATGTGTGCTTAGTGTTATCTCTCGATACCACCACTCCGTCACTAGGAGATAATAACCGTACCAACTCATAGGGTTTCCAAAGGATTTGATGACATGACCCAAATAAACATTCAATAGATGGAGGATGTCATCACCATTATTCTCAGTTCCAGTTTCCTTAGCCAAGAGTCACCTGAGAGTACTTTGTAGCATAAAAGTTGTTTACAATTTTAGGAGGGAGAAAAATGAGAGAAAGAACATGTTTTTTAGCCCAGAGTCCCCAGACACTCCTGAGCTGCATGCTGGTGGCAGTGGTGCCCTGTATCAGATCCCGCTGCTGTCAGGCAACACCGTGAGAGCTGTCACTAGTGCCTGGGGCCTCAAGTGGCTGCTGGTGCCAGCCAAGTGACCCATGCCATCTATGGAAGAGCGGGAGGCAGACAGGGGTAAACATTTCCATGGTCTGTTCTCTGTTAAGCAGCCTCGGGGAGGGGAGGCAGTCACATGGGACAGGCTGGGGAGCAGTGAGGCTGTAGCCAGAGCATTCAAGCAGGAAGCAGGAGCGGGGAGTGGAGAGGGACCCAGACAAGTCTCACTGTGGGGGCTGCCTGTGGGTCAGCCCCCACTGCCACCCTCTTACCTAGCACTTGAGAAACTCCAATTTGATGGAAGACTTGTTTCTATTGTACAAGTGCCATCTTCTGCCAGCCGTTGCTGGTTCCCTCACTCTCTTATGTGCTCAGCCCCTTCCCATTTTCTGGCAAGTTTCTGAGAGCCATCTCCCTCTCTCTGACAGGGTCTGCTGCCCTGAGTGTTTTCTTCTCACACTGTGCACCTACAGGCCCCTGTCTCTCTGATTGCAGCACTGGGTCATGGTGGAGGCTCGTGAAACATTTGCTGAATGAGCTAATTGGCAGATAGACGGATGCCCAAAGGAACCTGTCTGTGCATGACAAGAATGGGGCTATAATGCTGATTTCAAATGATAACCTTCATTTCACACCTTCTTTCAAAGGGTGCACAAGTTGACTTAGAATCTTAGCAAAGGTCAGACTTAACTTCTAAGGTCTTCGGGGTTGGGATGGAGATAATACATTTCTATGGGAATTTTTGTGAATTGTCATGAAGTTCCATAGAAAGCAGGACACCATTAATGGGCTAGATTTTTCTACAAATGCTTTTCAGGGATACATGTTGGCCAGCAAGGAGGCATTAGGCCCAAACTGGCTTCTCCCAACAACAGAGAATGCATGAGCCCAGGTAGATGGGCATCCCAAATGGCTCTGGTGCAGCACTGCTGCTGGTAGACCAGGAGACTGAAGGCACAGTCTCCTTGGAGACCAGCAGCAAGGCCAGTGCAGTACCATTAAGCTTTTGTTCTGAGTTCTGAGCCAGTCCCAGATAGGCTGACCCAATGCTTGTATCTATTAGGAGATGACTGCACTTTGCTATTAAATATCTGGGTCCTTATTCAAGTATTTACATGACCTGAACAATACAGTTAAAAGATTTAAGCCAATGTGTGGATGGAATTGTTACAGTGCATCTTTAAGTGCCTTCAAGGGTAAAATGCTTATCAGTGCATAGTATTTTCTTGTCATTTGGCCAAATGTGTATACCTAAAGTCACAGCCATTGGCTCACAGACTCATGTCTCTGCTACCTCTGTGGGTTGCAAAACTGAAGGTGCCCTGTGAGTTCACTATGGACTTTCTCAGGCAGAATTTGGGATCTTGGAGACGAGATCTTAGTTCTTGTCAAGCATGAGAAATATTTATCTTTGTCTCTGTCATTAAAATTCTTATCTTTCTTTAACAAACACTTGAAAGGGTGTTTAACGGACATAAAAGTTTATAACAAACTAGTATTTTTATTGCTGCCCCATAGAATGAATTCCATTACTCAGTTAACTGAAGTCTGCCTCCGGCCAAGGCTCTGGAGCCAAACGTTTTGTCTGGATGAGTTAAACACTCCGTCTGGAGTCCAAGTGGGGGAGAGATGGAGGGAGGGAGAACTACTGCAGCAGTGGCTGAATGTGGTGGCTCTGGGCCTCGGAGCTAGGCTTGGGTCACAGTGGTGTATGTGGGGGGGGTTGGGAGGGGGAGACTAGATCTGAGCGTACCTCTCCATAGATCTGTCTCTCTAAAAAATCCATCCTTGATGCTGTCAATTTTGTATACATGTCTCGACTCTTTAAGTGCTGAGCACAAGGTAGTTCTCTATGAAGTGTTGACTGTCTAGTCGAAGGACTAGTGTTAACTCCCATTCAGTGTTACTACCAGGGAGAGAAGTTATTTATAGATCTTTTGCTTGCATGTGCTGCTACAGACATGGCTTTTTCAGATCTCATGTCTGTAGGCTAAGTGGGCTGTATGAGTGCTCAGGTTCTGGGAAGAGAAACCAACATGACCAGGAAGAGTGGGCAGGAACAGTAATGAGGCAGTGAGGGAAGTAGCCAACGGGCGAGGGAGTAGAAAAGCAGAATGGGAAATGAGGTCACAAGAGTGTTGCCTTTATAAAACTGAGACTGACACTCCAGCTGGGGGCCCTGGTGTCTGGAGGCCCCACTGGATACAAGTTCTCTGGTCACAGAAGGGAGATGGAGATAAGGGAAGGTGGGGTTTGAAGACTGAGGGAGAGTCTTACTTTCTCCTCGTTCTTATCAAGGGTCTGCCCTCATCACCTTAGGGGATCTGTAGGATTTCTGCTTTAGGGCGGTAGGTAGCTCTAACAGCTCTTCTGGTAATACATACAGAGAAAGCCAAATATAATTTGTAAATTAAGGCAAAATATTACTAGGTAAACTTGCAAATGAAAGGAAAAAGCAGCTGCCTCCTTTTTCACCCTTATCCAGCCTTTATTTTGACATTAAAATTGATCAACACTAAACAATGGGAAAAACACTTATTAGTGCCAACCTAAACACAGAGCAATTCTAAGTCTGTTAAATAGGAGTATTCCTCCATCTGCCAGTTATAAGCTACAGTGGATGGAGTTATGGTCTTTCTGGAGCCATATGTGTTGCACAGAGAACATCCACCTAATCTACCCAGGCGTGTTAGACAGTTTGCTTCTTGGCATCCAGTTCTCAAACTCACTGGTTATCTCTCTAGCAGCCCTTGGAGTTGAGATGAAGACCCCCCCCCACTTCAGAAGAAACATCTCCACAGCCCCCCTTATCCTGGTTTCTGTGAACACCTCCCTCTGTAGAGTGGTGGGTTCTTTGGTGTGCCACAGCATTGTTGCACCTCCTGCAGATCTGTGGGGTTACCTTACCTGACCCGATGCCACTGGACTGACACTATCCTGTGCTCTGTAATTACTGTTCTAGCTCCGATCCACTCCTTATCCTGGTCAGGGCTGAGCTCTTAAGCTTCACTTTTGCAATGTGTACCCGTTTCTCACAAACCCCATAAGTGTGGGCCTCACTTCTCCTGTCTTCACAAGGTTCCCCCCTTCTTTGCCCACAGCCCCTGTGCTCTTGTTGCGGGGTGTCAGTCATCTACAGGGCAGCCTCTTCAGCCCCCAGATTTTCCCTGCCTGACACATGATGCTCCAGGCACTTCAGCATAGGATGGGTAGAGCATCTGTGAGCATGGTCAACCCTTCCCCCAGGAGTCCTCGGGAAGGTCTGGGGGGCTGATTGCTATCTGCCTGGCTGCTAAAACTTCCCTTTCTTGTCACCCCTTTAATGGACCTACAGTGCGAAGGACCCTCAAGAGTGGCCTGACTCCAGAAGAAGCCAGAGCCCTGGGGCTGGTCGGCACCTCAGAGTTGCAGCTGTGATGCTGTGGCGCCCTCCGGAAGTGTGCTCCAGCAGAGTACATACTGCTGCTCAGAACCCCTCCGGGGGAGGCGAGGGGTTTCTCCACGAGCATCGGAACATTCTGAGGCAGCACCCATCTCTGGGTGTCACCATGTGCTGTGTCGCCCACTGTGCACTGACATGGGGTCCCCTCACACACTTCTTCATCATGTCAGCAGAGCTTCTTGTTTCCTTTGCACCTGGTTTAGCAGTTCCGAGGCGAAACACCTCTTCTGTGCGAGGAACAGTCCTTTGAAAGAACAAATCACCTCTGTCAGTTTCTACTGTCATGAGGCAATTTGATTAGCTTCAGTGACACCAAAGTGTCCAAATTGTACACAAGCAAGCACAGATTGTTTACCAGTTGTGGATTTTAAATGAACTCAATGTTTATACAAACTCCTAAGTGTACACCGTGTTTCAAATAATAAATAAATAAGAGTTTAATGTCGTAACTGGAAATGTTTTTTCTCCTGGGTGTAGGAGCTTAAACAGCAGCACGGCCTCACCTCCTCCCGAGGCAGCAAGTCTTCTCAGGTCCAGCAGAAGCTCGGGAGACGTGGCTGCCTCCTGGCCCTTTGGGTTTCCGTTGTTTGTGAAGAGAGTGTGTGATATTAACAGTGCGCTCGCTTTAACTCCTGATTGGTGAGGCCTAAATCCTTCTTGCAGGACATGTCAGCAGTCACTTCTGCCACCTGACTGTGATTTCCTTTGCCCCATGGTGATGCGAAAGCAGCATCAGAGTAGCATTTTAAAACTGTCCTGCAACTCACGTATTTACCTTGTATGTAAAAATTCATTTTTTTCCAATGAATTTACTGAGTCACCAAATGGAAATTTATAGCTTTGTCTCCAGAGAGCCTCAGAATGACAGATGTGGTACTTGGCCTGGGGCAGGCCTCCAGGATTACAGGCGCCCAGAGCAGACACCGTGGCCCTCGGGGCAACACTGAGCCCCTCTGAGGGGGTGGTGCCCAAGTCCACCATGAAGTCCTCCACCCCCTAGCATCTCACATGGCTCTCATGAAGATCCTCTGCCTCCGAGAGGTGAACTGCTGAACAGGTACTTAGCTTTTTGGGGGAAGGGATTACTATGTCTATCTTCAAAACCTCTGTGACTCTGCAATCCCAAATCTGGGTGAGGCTGACTTACAGACTGTACAGTCATGCTGTCTGAAGAATCACAGGCCATGCATTTACCCCTCAGGCCTCTGTGACTAGGTACCTCCTTTTCTGTATCCCCACTCACTGAGAGACCAAGAACTCTTTTAGACAGGTGTGTGTCAAGTAACACGATGGAGAGCCTGAAAGAGGTCACTTTATTGAAAAGGATACATAGGATATTAATGTTCATTTCCTTCTGGTTCTAAGTAACTAATATTCTGCATGTGATTTAGTGGTTTGGGGGAGCATTTGCCTGTTGCACTGGTACTGAATGCAGACATGGAAAATCTGTACCCTTTGGGATTATGATGTGCAAACAAAAGCAAGATGTATTTTTGTTGCACTGTTTAGTGATCAAATACTCGGACGCCCTTTCAGGGGCCTTTGCTGTTCTGTTGACAGTTACTGCTTAAAATAAAAGGTCACATTTGGAAGGAAGTGACTGGATGAATCTAATGTTAATTTTATTTTAGGGGTTAAACTGAGAAGCAGCAAGCAAATAAAACTGATTTCCTGATTACAGCTAGGTAAAGAGATTTCCTTTGGGAAATTGGATTAATAGTTTTTAGTGAAATTGAAGGAATGTTCTCCTGTTGCTTATTTCGTCTCCATTGCCACTCATTGTGGCACTGCTGGTATTTTGACTTATGAGATTGAATTTTGCTATAAGGCCTTTGGGAAACATTAATGAGAGTGCGAAGGCACCTAGCATTTGCGATCACTAATATTGCTGGTGATCACCATGGTTGTGCTTATTTTTCATTTTGGGTTCCAATTTCAAAGCTGATGATGGAAAAAGGCATTTCTTTTACTGTCAAAGATTCCTAGTTTTGGTTTACTGGGAGTACAATTTGGAGTGGGTGGGAGGGTGAAGAGGGGCTTGGAAGGCTGACCACACAGTTTTGTTTCTTCCAGGTCCGTCACTGGCCATAGTGCAGGGAGGAAGGGCAGAAGCTGGGGGTCATTGGGCCGGGAAACCTGGTTTCCAGACTCCAGGCCTACATCATTCACAGCTCCCCCAAACTGCCACTTCTGTGTTTATGGCCTGGAGATAGTGTTTCGCCAAATACCACTGTAGTAGTAGATGGAATAAAGGCCACACGAAGTATCCATGTTTGAATTGCTGGACACTGTAATTACTTAGAAGGCAGGGTCTTTGATGTAAGTTATAGACGTACACATGGGGAGATTATCTGGGATTACTGATGTGTGCCATGATTATAGGTCATAGCAGCCCTAAGTACAGTCGCCAATCATAAATCTGGATTAAGGATATACTATGGTGGTGACCCCGTGCCAGGCTGGGGATGCAGCTGGGAATGCAGCTGGGAAAGGCACGTTCCTTCACCAAGGCCAGTCATCAGTGACAATTAAAATTTAATAAGCCACTTTGCAGTTCTAGGATACATATTTTATCAGAGCGGTAACCAAAAATAAAAACACAAATTGCCTAAGAAAAGGGATATCTTTGCAATTGCAGTGGAAGTGTATGATATTAAAATTCACTACCCCTTTTGTCCAAAAAGAAGACTTGGTAGAAAATCAGTTCTACTTCCTGGACAATTCAAGGTGGAAAATAAATTTTCTGAATGATTTTCTAACACAGTTAAGCTATCTATTGGAGGCATCTTTGTGTGGACACTTGCTACATATTTTATATAATCCAGACAGACATTCTGCATTTTCATTTTATAGATGAAGCCATTGACGCTGAGAGCTGCTGAATAACTCTCTCCAGGGGCAGAAGATAGGAACTGATAGACCCTTGTCACAGTAGTTCCTAGTTATATATTTGCCTTTTTTAAATCCTTAAGACAGCCTGTTAGTTGGAGTCAACTGTCAGCCATGACTCTGGGTTGATCACAGCACGGACTGAACCAGGGGCTCCCTCAGTGGGTCGGGATCCAGTTAGTCCCACCTTGAGCAAATTGAAATCCCAGAGTCCTAATTGTGTACAAGGTGGTGGCACTATCTGAACATTTGGTAAGGACTGAAAATCATGTATAAATTTCACATTAATGATGAATAACTGGGAGCCCCTCCAACTATTCATACCCGACACAAGTAGGAAAGGTTCCAAGCTCAAAGGTTTCCTTTGTGACTTTCTGTGGAATTTAGATAACAGGGAAAAATTAATAACAGATCATTCTCAACCAAGGGAGGGCTAGTTCATCTATATTTTCTTACTGGGCACTGGTAATTAAAAATTTTTTAAGATCCACCTGAAAAAAGACCAATTCACGAGTTTGGGAACTTGTAATTCAATTTTCGGCTGTTGACAGACATTGTGGAAATTGTTCCTAACTATCCAGTGAGTGACAATGGTTTCCTTACAGCATGTTTTGTTAATTTAAAAGTAGGGTGTTCCACGCACAGAAAAATTAAACAGGCTGGATAAGTAGAAGCCACACCTGACGATGCAAACTATACAGTCTCATTCTCACTGGGGAAGGGCTGGGACGCCACAGTCCATGGGCTGTAGGATGCCGTGCTGGACTCAGTGTGCCTCCCGGGCTCTGTGCTCGATGGTACAGGTTCCTTGCTTGTGGCTGGGGGTGGGGTGGGGGTGGGGGAGGTGGAGGTGTAGGAGGTGTGCAGGAAGAGGCTTGCAGGTGCCAGTCCCTGTGTCTGCAGACTCAAACACACCTCCTCATCTCCCATTTAGAAGGGTCAATCAGTTGTTTTAAATTTAATACATTTTCTTCTATTTTGATATAATTGACAAGTTACCTCATTTAGGTGGAGACAAGAAAAAAATAGGCCTTGTCAAGTATAAAAGATGCTCCCCAGAGAACCTGGACAGCACATTACGGGTATGGCCTTGAATTAACCACAAGGTAAGTGGGAAGGTTAAGCAGGCACCTTTTGTTGTTCTAGGTCAGCAGTGGCCTTTTCTGGGCCAGAATAGATAACTGCACTGGATTATTCCATTGGCCCAGCTGTTTTTTTTTGTTTTTGTTTTTTTTTTTTTATCCTTTTAGAAAGCCATTGTAAGTCACTTTCTTTTGGGGAGAGTCCCTGCCCCTTAAGAGCACCTGCCTGGCAGTGCTTCTAAACCTCCCCTGAAGGCCAGGCAGTGCAGCTGGCACAGAGGTCACCCTTCCCCACGGCCATTTGAGTTATATACCCCATGCAATAATTAGATTTTGTAACCCCCTTTTCAAAGAAGATGTGACGGCTACACAGAACTGGCAACTGGGGCAGCTTTCATAGCTGGCTGCTTTACATGGTCCCTGCAAGGTGTCCTTGCGGAAAATGTTGATTTAGGGGAGTCTTTTTGACTAGAACTCAGCACACAGCATCTGGTAGTAGACCTGGCTACAGAATTAAAGCAATTCAATCAATATCACAGTCCTTCTAGACTTGGCCTAGTTTAAGCAGAAGATTGGAAGGACAAAGGAATAAAGGAGTTTGTTTCCAGCTCAGCCATCCTCAGAAATGTAGTCTCAGTGGAAAGAGATGGATTCTGATTCAGCAGAATCCATCTCTGTAGGGGGGGTATGAAAAAAGAATGGCTGTTTTGGGGAGCAAAACTATTCTGAAATTGTAAAGGCTATAGACATTTAGACAACTTCTTAAATCAACATATGTATATATAAAATCACTTGTTAAATTTCATAAGCGTATGTTAATGGCAAAAGTGCTGCAGGATCAATTTTTTAATTTGTTTTATGCTTGACTTTTTCCTGCTCTAAATTGATATATTGCAGGCCTATTTTTTGATGGCCTAAAAACAGGATTTGTGATGATAGTAATTGGGGCCACAGCAGTCTGTTTTTAAATCAAAATTTTAAAGGCAAATAGCTTTTCTTTTTAAAAATTTCATGACATATTCTAGAACCCCAACACTGTCCCCAAGTCCATGTGGCCATGTGTCTTAAGTCACCTGTGGGAGATGGGCTTTATTAATCAGGTGGTTTGGAAATGGTGTGCCTCGGTAACGATAAGCTGTTCTCCAGAAGTTTAATCTCATGTCTTATGCTGTAGTTTTTCCCTCACTTGCTATGTTTGGGGGATGGGAGCTCTCCCTTATGTTGGCCTTGAATTATTTTGGGAGCGGATAGTGTCGCTGTCCTTGTTGGTCTGTCAGGTATTCTTCGTCTGATGTTTGTGAAAAAAGAAAATGGTACTTTGAGATATGTCATTTCTTGAGTGATTATTTCTGAGCACAGGAGGGAGTTTCCAATGCCAGGCCTCCTGCTCTGAAAAGGCAGAGACAAAGCCAGCTGCTTTTAAGATGCAGAAAATCTGTTCCTTTGTCTTATGTGTTCTGACCTTGGAGACTGCGGAGGCCTAGAGGCTGAGCTTCCTGGGCCTGTGTCTACCACTGGGGCAAAGCCAGAAGCAGCAGGGCCCACTGAGAGGCCAGGACTGCTGCCCCTTTTCCAAGCTATGCCATGGCAACTGATGCCTACTTAGTTTTCCTGGTGAGCCAGGAGTTGTAGAATCTGTACAGGATGCTGTGTGTTAGAAAAGAGCAGACTGACTGAGAGTTGTACTGGAGAGAGAAGCCATACAATAGGGCTGCTGTGATGATAGAACTGCTGTGCGCACACTTTTCAGTATGGCAGCAGTAGACATGAAGGAACACATGAAATGTGGTTGTATACAGACTGCCCAACAGAATTTAAAATCTTGATTTTAAGTGACTGCATTGGTTAGTTGCTGGAGGACTGGCTAACAGGGGTCTGAAAGAAAACACTGTATGTACTTGGTTGCTGTTTTTCACACTTGTTTTTTAATGTGAAATTTGCATGTAAAATTGCTTTGGACCGCTCTTCACTCCATCAAGAGTCTCCCCTCCATACAATGTATTCTGAGCCTTGGGGAATTCTTGTCCTTAAATGAGGGAGTTTGGTGTGAATGATGTTCAGTGCTCTGAGAGACACTCTCTTCCCCACCACTGCCCCACCCGTGGTGTGCACCCTCCTCAGCAGAGGCCACAGCAGGCCTGGGTGCATGGCCCTGTAATGTTCACTGCAGCGAAGTGCACATCTCCAGCTGCTAATCCACCCCAGAGCAGAGCTTTACAACACATTGCTTCAGTTCCTGCGGTGTTTTTACCATGCTGTTCTCTACCTGGTCCTCACTACTGCATGTCACCCTTACCATCTGGGAGGCCTGCTCACAACAGATGATCCATGTGAGACAAATCAGGACTGAAAATGTCCAGGTAGAAGGCTGCATTCATTTCACATGCAGCTGTTCCCAAGAGGGGTTATTGGGCAAGGCCTAAGTGGAGGTGCTGTGTAATAATCAGATTCCACTTCTGAAACCACAAATCCAGGTACATGGTCTGAGAAGACTGAGCCATAGCCATAAGTGCCAGAAGGGAATCTGGGAGATAATTTTTGTGGTCAAGATATTGGAATGTTGGCCACATATTTCATTAAGCCAGGGTCTTCTTGTCAGAGGTAGTCTGTGAACTGAACTATGATGTCTTACCTCCAAAATTATACCTGCCTTTCGTACAAGTTGCATAATTGCACAGCAGCTTTTTTTTTTTTTTAAAATATCCTTTGCTCAATGATTTTGCTTGTTTTTATCTACTGGTCTAATCTAGACTTAAGTATGAGGCAGCTCTTGATTTAGCACATCATTATATATTAATTTACTCTAAGTTTTATCTGTTAATAGTGCCTGGGATTCTACAGCATGAAGAATGACTTGCCAGAGTAACACAAAGCTCCCATCTCAGGAACATCTGAAGACAAGGAGCAAGGTAAGGTGACCAAGAGCTAACTGAACAGTTCGGGTAAGAAGTGCTCCATCCCCAAGAGAGCGCTCCTTATGAACTGGGGCTCACAGGTAGACCAGAGCTAAGGCCTAGGAGGAAGTGGAGGAGCCTCCGATGAGCACTGGCGGTGGGAAACTATAGGTAAAAACAGAACAACAAGGAAAGGGAGCACTCAGGAGGCAGAGCTAGGTAGACTCTTTAAAAAGTTACTAGCTAGAAAGACTGAAGGGACAAACTTTTCTGAGTTCTTGCCAATGAGTTAACTCACAGTAACCTCCACAGTGGAGACTGTCTGTTTCTCCAACTGTATGTTTGTGTCCCTGCCCTGGCTGGTCTATAAGGCAGTGAGGACCCTCTGTATGTGTGTAACTGTACTGAAGAGAAATGCATTGAAACCTTGGGAAGAAATGTTAAAATATAATGCAAAGAGGTGTAACTTTAAAACACTCAATTAAAATGGAACGACAAAACTAGTTGGAATAAAAAACAGGTAAGTAGATTTGTCAGGAATTGTAATTGTTAAAAGTAGGCATTGTTCAAACACAGAGCATCATTACACTATTTGTTTAAACACTGTAAATGTTTGATTCTTCATGGTAAAATGTTTTCAAAAGACATGGAATTTATACAAAAACGAAAATGGTGGCTTGATTCTTCTGTTCCAGCCAGTGGGTATGTGTATGCTCTGTCATCTCACTGGATTAATAACAGAGTTCGAGTCCTCCGTGAAAGGAAAACTACTAGCTAAAAGTTTTGTACTTGTAAGCACTATTGTCACCCTTTCCGTTGGTTAATAGTCCTGAGGCCTGGAATTTATCCTAGCATTTTTCAAAAGGTTTGGAGTGGGATGTCACTACATTCTAGTGACACTGAGTTTGGGCGGCACAGCTTCATCCCCTTGCTGCTACTCCCTGCATCTGGGCGCTTCCCTGCTGCAGGACACAAGCAGCTGGTGGTGTGTGCTCTCTTGGCTACATCTTGACACATCCTGCCATTGTCATTTTGTCTAGCGTTGGTTTTTTCTCTTGGGCAGTTGACCTGTGGTGCAGCCAAACTGTTGCCATTTTAACTGTGTAAAAATAATTTCATGGGTGAGTTTTTTCCTCATGGAACTCACTCAGCCAGCGTGTTGTCCAAGTGTGTTGCTGGGAGTGCTCCCTCAATCACGCAGGGCCCGTGCTCAGGCGGCCTCACACTGGCTTAATACTCTTCTCACACTGTTTTTAAGTCTGATGAGACCACAGAGCGTACAGGAGCAGAGGAAATACGTGTATCGGTCATTACCTCTCTCTCATAGCCCTGTGATGCCCTGAGAACAGAGATGTCAGTGGATCCATGATCCATCAGCGTTCAGACTGGAGGTAAGTTACACAGAACACGTTATGCTGACAACTGAGTGGGGAGCACTGAGGGCTCCAAGAGGTCATGCTTTCCACTAGAATCAGAGTTAGCTGGATCCAGAGAGGTGGTCACAGCACCCTAAGCAGCAGGAATGCGCATAGAATCCTATCCTTTACTTACTTTCCTGCATTAGTCATCACTGTGCTGAAAATGACAGAAGGGAAACAAAAACATCGGGAAGCTCACAGTTTCTACCCCAAGTCCTTCCTTACTCATCACTAAGTTGCAAGAGTTTTGAAAGAATGTGTAAGTGACAGTCAAGCTAGTCTGGTGCAGGGTCTCAAAGCAAAACTGCACATCCTACAGTTTGTGCATATAAGCTGTTAATACAAAGTGTAATTTTGGTGATTCTGCATATGAGTTACATACTCTGCATTTTCATCTACACTAGCACCATCTAAAGATGAATGATACAATTAATGCTAACAATTTAACATTCTCATGTTTCTTAGAACAGCACTAAGTAGCAAATAAAATGCCTCTGTAAGTTGTGAGAGGCTATGGGAGATGGGAAATACACCTCAGCTCTTTGTTCTGAGTTCTGGACAAGGACCTACCTCGGGCTCACTGTGCTGTCTGTGAGGCAGTCAGTGCTGTCCTCCACTGCTCCGTCTTCTGAGCAGTCTCGTGTTTTCATCAGAACTACCGGCTTCCTTCCCCAGCACCCTTGAGGCCAAGACTGACTTGTAAGGCACGCCTGCCCTCCTGGTTCCTCTTCATTTGTGAAATCTAGTCCACTTATGACTGACTGATTTAGAAGTAATGCAGAGGCTTCCCAAGTATCCACCCCAGCGGGAAAGGACTGATTTCTCAGTTCCCTCTATCCATTATTTGTCTTGGAGAAGCGCCTGTTTGCAGAACTCTCTTCTTGGGTGCAGGTTCTGTTGATCAGTTCTGAGAGTAATTCAGGAAGTCTAAATTTCAGCTACTATCCTTAACAACTCAGTTTCTCTCTGTTAAGTTTTTTTGTTCTTAACATGGCTATAATGTTCATAATGCCCTAGGAGCACAGAATTCCAATGGATACATGATCCATCAGAGTTCAGAATCAAGGTAAGTACATGTTAATTTTTTTGTTGAATAAGTGGAAAACTCTTGTCAACAGTAAGTTTCATCAAAACTCCTGCAAAGCACTATTTGGGAGGTTTTTTATGGTTTCATATGGGTAAAGTATAGCAGAATCATCTCAAATTTTGGCAAATATGTCAATATCGAAACACAAAATTGGAAGCAAGAAACTTTATAGGAAAGTGATAAGAAATCACCAGTGAGAGTTGTGTTAAAAGATATAAAGAACATGCAATCATATCAAGAATTTTCATGGAACATTTTAACCCACCACAGGTATCAACATTCTCTTAACAAAAATTAACTGATCTGAGGGAAAGCAATATGAAAAGATTCAAATATAGTGTCCAATATAATCTTGTGTAATTATGGAAGCGTTCTATAGTCTCTAACAGAGTCCACTAGACACATTAAAGCTTGAAATGTGGCTAACGCATTTGAGGAACTGAATTTTAAATATAAATTTAAATAGCCACATGTGGCTACTAAATGAACAGTGAGTGCAATTCTAATGCCTCAGTTGTTTCTTTGTGGGGCTTTTCTAAATCACTGCTGAGGGGTAGAAGGCAAGGGGGCTAAAAAAAAAACAAAACAGATTCAGACATTCAAATAGCATCTGAAATCCTGCACAGCTTTTGGAGGCAAGGGGTGGCACAACCTGCTGCTAGGGTTATCAGGGAGACCCAAACTTTTCAACTCCTGGCTAATGCCAGTAGGGATAAAAGTGTGGGATTTTTGTTCCTATGAGTAGAGGCCTATGGTCCTCACACAGGCTCTGAGACCACCCCTGGGGCATAGTGCATGGAAATCATTACCATGGTGCTGGGAAGGTGGGTGGGTCACTCATTTCCTTACAGGGTTTCCAGCACCAGGGCATGATTTAGTGGTGGAAGGAGGTGCTGAAGGCCCTTTCTGGCCACCAACAGGCGGAACAGGCCCTTTCTTTTTTGGAATTAAGATCTTGTTCTTGCTCTTGAATACTTTGCTGGGATCCAGCTTGTTGACAAAGGAGTCGGTCTCTTCAGTGAGAAGGCTGGCGTTGTAGGTGATGGGTTTATACATGTTGAACCATTGCTGTGAGGCAGAATTGAGAGGGTCACAGTTTAAATGAGAAATTCCATGGGTTTTGAGGTGAGAGCAGGACAGAAAAGTTTTATGAAAAACAACCTAGAAAGTCAATTAGTACTTTAAGTGAAGACATACAATGAATAAAAAAAAAAAAAATTGAAGTAAATCTAGAGAGACTTAAACCCCTAACCAGCAAGGCGCTATTTGTCATGCCCTCAAATCAGCCACAGTCCATCAGGTGGAGCTAGCACAGGGAAGGGAGCCTGCAGAGGCCTCTGCTGAGGGAAGCTGCGATACTGGGAGTCTCTGCCTTTAGCTGCCCAGAAAGGGAAAAGGGTGTCATCTTTCATTGATCATAGCTCTCTCACCAAGTGGATGTTTAAATTACGTGACATTTGAAGAAAGTGAGTTCCATAGGGAGCTTGTCCCTACCATTATTGCCTCCCAAGCAAAAGTTCTTCCAGACATACCCCTGGTGTTCTCAAACCAGGAAATGTCTCAGCATTAACTGACATCTGTATTTTTTTAAATGATGCCTGGACCTGTAATATAAACAGTGTATATCCCCCTACAGTGGAATAATAGAATAGCTCCACGAAGAGTTTCAAGGTACAGAAAAATGTGAATTATATAGCTTGTAATTTAGAAAAAGCAATCCCAAGCTGTACACATGCATGCATGCTTTATCTTTGGAAGGACACTGGGAAGCTCCCAGGAAAGAGGCTGACTTTCTGCTCTCCCTATGTGCATGTATACCTAAGAACCCAATAAAATTGGAAATAAAATTCCCAGGTAAATCTGAGGATGAGAGAAGTTTGGGAATCACTTAACTAGATGATAAAACTTAACTACTTATATTGGAATTCCTGCCTTGTGTGTTGAAAATGCAGGTTCCCGGATTCCACCCCTCCTTCATCAGATGGAAAAGCAGGGAACGGGCAACATGAGCATTTTCAGAAGAGTCAAATGTATTCCACAATTTGAAAGAACAGGTGTTTCTCCCTTACCTTGGCCTGTGGACTAATGCCATAGCTGGTGAAGGCGTACTGCCACTGGGGCAGCCCCAGGTGAGTGAGCAGCAGGCGATAGTAGGCCGTGAAGGTGTCTGTCAGAAAATGCCAGTATAATGCTCTGTCCAGGAACCAGATCTCAGTGTCCTGTGGTAATGCTGAAATTAAATGAAGGGGAAATGACACTTTTTCCAGTTTTGCAGTTAATATATACTAATAGATAAAATTCTAATATTATAGAGAATGTAAAATTCCCTTTTATCCCCTCTCTAACCTCCTGGTCCCATTCTCCAGGGGCTATTGTTTCTATGATCCATTTGCAAATTCTTTATTTGTGAACTGATGCATTGGGCTTCTGGTCCTCTGTGCATTCAGGTGACCTACAATGGTTACAGTTTTCTAAAGAGGCCTTAGTCAGGAAACAGCTGTCAGAAAGCAACCTGCTAGTGCTGGATTCCTGGCTGGGTTGAAGCAGATACTGTCATACCAGCAACTAGGTCAGCCTTATGCATCTGACATTCCAATTCACCACAGTAGACCTCTTCTGTGTTCTGTCCTGTGTAAGGGCTGGGACATCTCCCCTAAGTGGCTTTCAGTCTCACTTTTCCATATACTTGTCACATATATTTCCACTTTAATTCTGTCTTCTGCTAACTCCCCACAGTCATACAAAAAGTGCGCTCCTTCCTGGCCTACTGAGATGCTAGCACACCTTTCACAGGCACAAAGATCCAGAAAGCCCCATTGGTCACCTCTAAGCATCCCCCTCTAGACCAATCAGTAGTCCCCACTAGGGTAGGAGGGTGCTGATTAGGCCACCTGAATGCACAGAGGACCAGAAGCCCAACACATGAGTTCACAAATAAAGAATTTGTAAATGAATCATAGAAACAATGGCCCCTGGAGAACCAGGAGGTTAGCGGGATAAAAGGGAACTTTACATTCTCTCTAGTATTAGAAGCTTATCCCCACTGCCATGACACCCCATTGTCTTCTACTCTAGGTTCAAATTCTTCCTCTTGGCATTCGAAATTCTACAGAAAGGGGAACAACTGGCCTGGCTTCACCTCAACTACAACCACGTGGACCAACGAACTGGAATTGCCATTGCCTTCAACACAGTTGTACCTTCCCATGGCATGGTTTTTATCCTTGTCTCCACCTAATTCCTCTGTTTTAAGATGCAAGTAATAGGCTACACCTCAATAAGATTCCTTCTGCTGGGGATGCTCTCTCCTCTCCAGAGGTAAATCCTAATGTATCTTACCACTACCAGAAACCTAAGTCTTTTCCAGTTCTGTAATTCCATAGTCCCTAGCCTAGAATCTGAATTGCTGTTGGGGGGGCAGGTGATGGCCACTACTCAAGGGGCCAGAGCCTTTTTTCTTGACTTCCCACCTGGGGTCTGGGATGGAGGTCTAGTAATTCAGGGTTTTATTAATGTTACCAGACCTACATGGAGAAGTACGGAAGATAATGATTCTCCAATGCATGACCCTTCTGGATGAGTCCAAAAATAGAATGACTTTCAGTTTTTACTCACTTATCATCCTAATTACCATTGACTATTTTACAGGGACTTACAAGTGATTATAGTCCCCAAAGACTACTGATTGGTCTAGAGAGCGATGCTTAGAGGAGACCAGCAGGGCTTTCAGGATCTTTGTGCCTGTAAAAGGTATGCTGGCATCCCAGTAGGCCCGGAAGGATTGTACTTGTTTGTATGACTGCTAGAAAGCAAGGTCAGCATAGACCATTCTCAAACTGGAGGACCATGTTCATTAATAATGCTTACCTGGTTTTCCTCTTTTGTAGACAAGGCAAACCTTCCCATTTCCATTGCAAGGATCCAGCTCAAATATCACGCTGCGAGAATCAAAATGAGGCTTCTCTGGTTGGTTCTCACTGGCTGCAAATCCAGAAGTCAATGGTAATGTTTAAACATACTCAAATACATTTGTTCACTGGGCTTTGCTTTGATAAAAGATATATCACAACATATTTTCAATCATTTAAAAATGGGAACTGTATTCTCTAAATACTATGGATCTTATTCATGGTCTAGGCTCCCCTATCATCAACAAAGAATGTCACAAAATGTGGGGAACAGTGGCATGAGGAAAAACAAACTGAATTTTGTGTGTGTAGGTCTACATAGAGCAATCTGAAGGGTCTGATGTTGACATACCTTCTCCCCCAGCCCCTTTTAATAGTATTTTATGATCTTTTGATTGGAGTCTTTTTCTCCTGTGTAAAAAATTTAATTAATGCCAAGTCTAGATCAGCTAGAAAGCTAATATCATGGAGAAGTAAATTCTTAGACATGCAAGCATCACAAACCTCATTTCTTTCATTACAGCTATTATGCAATAAAAACTACAAGCCCAGGAAAGACTGGATAAAACAAGGTAAATAAAAATACTTCTGACTTATACATTAATTTTTAATTAAAGAAATTTTCAACCTCCCTTGGAGGTTATACATTCATATTTCTGTTTTCATACAGTGCTAAGCAGACAAATAGGTAGATTTAAATTTTGTCTCCATGATTGTTGTATCAAAATGGAATATCACATTATGTAAATTCTACTTTCTATGCAATAACATTTTTATTTTTTTAATGGCTGCCTGATAGGGCACATCCATTCACACAGACTAGTTTATTCTATCAATACCAAAATAACCATTTCTGAACATGTTTTTATGTCCTGGTGTCTTCATTATGTGGACAGATTCCCTGTATGTTACAAAGTATTTTTTCAGGGGTGCTATTGCTGTATAGAATTCTAGGTTGACAGCTTTTTTAACTGTTTCTAGTGAGCAACTGTTAACTGCTTTTAAGTTTTTCTCCTTGAGCAAAGTATTTCATAATTCTTGTATTTGTTAACTTTCCAAGAATACACATAAATTATATTGATTAGAGATACTTTTCTTTGTGTGTCACTTTGGATAGCTTCTATCGTTATCAGACTTATCATCTCTATAAGTTAAATGTGGGACTTTCCCTCTCCCCAATTCATTTCTGCAGTAATTTATATTTACATGTGGTATCTAGTAATATACTGTTTGAATGCCTTTATGTGCTAATTCTAAATTACAACCTGGTATGCATTATTTGAGAGCTAGATATTTTTCTGTATCTGAAAAGACTGATTTTGTTCTGTGCCATAGTTATGTAAGACCAGGGTAGCATTTAGCTTTGATGTACCCCAAGGCCTTACCACTGAAGGTGATAGCAGCCTATCAGTATTTACTCCCCATTTTTTTTTCTCACTTAAAATCCCCACAGTTTGAGAAGGCAATATTGTAGTTAAAATACTCACTTCTTCCTATTCCTTTGTAGCTATGACTGACTCTGTCCTGGCCAAAGGCCACTTGGGAAGGCTTTTGAGAAAACTATTTTTCTGATAAAAAGAATTTCTTCCAAAAGACAAGTTTTGTTTTGGTTCTTTACCTTTTATACTACTTCTTCCTGTTTGGACTTAAAGACCTCCTGAGGATAAACCATACCTAAAGGGTGATGCACGAAGAAACCAAAGCCTTTATCATTTTCTCAAACAACCTAGTTTACACTCTGTAATTGAGTCTCGCACGGTGCCAAGGACAATTCTGATTGAAAAAGTACTTTATAGCTGGTTGCATAGTTTTCAGAAGCCACTTCAATAAGAAGTGGCAAAGAGTGTTGTTACAAATGGAGAGGGAGTTTAGATGATCATGTTCCATAAAACTTTTTGATACTGAAATGCTGAATGACAGTTAATCTATATAGCATTTATATACAAGGAAGTGAAGTGGGTGCTAGAATTAGGCCTGGAATTATCTTCATGAAAATTTCCTTTGTTCATATAGGCTGTTTTAATCTTACTCTAATGTTCTTAAGAAGTCGTGAATGGGTAACTTCCTATGGTTGTCAATATAACATAAAGGACTGACTTAACACAAAGAAGTAATTCCTCAGGTACCTTCTTGTGTGTCATCCTCCAGATCTGCCAGAGTTGGTGCATTAGGAAGTGAGTACATAGAAGACTGGTTGAGTTGTGTCAGCTTTGAGATGCTGTTAATTGCCATGCTGCCCAATGGGATGATATGCTCTATGGAAACATTAAAAAAATTACATTGATTGATGGCATAGTTACCACAGTCATAAAGGCTTCTACTAGAGTAACCTACACCCAGCTATTGTTTCCATTCCAGGGCTGAGGAATCTGATGAAAAGTGGAATGGAGAAGGTCCACATACACTATAGTCCAACGCAACTTTCTCATACGAAGAAAACCAACTGGGGCAAAGAATTCCTGCTGCATGTGTTTTGGTGGATTATTAAGGAAACCTTCAAATGGAGGTGTTCAAAAGGCAGTGGAAAATTTAGGCTGCTCTCTGCTTGAACAGTAAAAGACTTAAATTCTTTCCCTTGCATGAAGGGTCATGCAATCCAAAGGAGTCATAGTTTTGATTAGAAGGGATACAAATATACAACATATTTTCCTTATCTGTTATACTGAATCCTTGTAACTGGCTTGAAAAAACTGGGATGTCAGAAGATAATAAAATGGTGTCTAAGATGAAATGACTGCTAAAGAGAATTCCTCTGGTGTGTTCTGTTACTGACTTCTCTTATTACTGTTAGCATGGACTAATGTGGGTCAGATGAGGAGGGCTATATAGAGAACATATTAAAATAGTGAACATTCTTCATGGGTTAGACCATCATGAAATGTGAAGAGGCCAGCCTGTCTCCGTGATTACGTATCTACTCCTACGGCCATGTAGCTATGACACATAGGAGGGATATGATTCTGGTGACAATAATGGTTCCTAAGCCATTAGCAGAAGTAATTCTAACTTAGAAGTTCATGTTAAAAGCTAAGTAGTAAGCTATAAAAAATAATTTTGGTCAGTGTGAGAGAAAAGAAAAGCTCTGCAAATCAACAACAACCAAAAAAGGGTACCCTAATCTTACAGGCAAGAAAACATTCCCTTAAAGCATGGCGAACGACTCACCATCTAGCTTTACACTCCATGTCATGTGAAAGCCATTCGTCATCAGGTAAAAGTTCTTCACATCCTCAGGAAGCACACAGTTATTTTTCTAGAATCACAAAGCAACTAAGTATTATGTCAGAGATAAGGGAGAGAGCAGAGGTATTTCAAAGCAGCTAAGAGGCACTATTTACCATGTTTCAGAATGAGAAGACTGGTAACTATCCACAAAACTCTGGTAGTGAGCTCCGGATGGAGACAGAGGGGTCTCAAACTCTTCTCCTCCACCCCCTGCAGGCACACTGAATTTACAGCTAAAAGTGGAGTAATTCACTCTGAAGTTTAAAAACTACAACACTGAAGGGAAAAGGAGAGGCTGACACACTATCTTGCCATAAAACTCACCCCTGGTGCAGTCACACAACTGGGAGGAAACTCTCACTCCTAGCTTCTCCCTAAGGAGTAAAAGGTTTGGACCCCATAGCTGGCAAGCCACTTGAAGTTTTCCATCTAAGAGACAGGCTCCAAAAATTTTTGGCTCTAAAAGCCAATGAGGCTTGGGTCCATGAGACCCACAAGGTTAGCGAGAACTAAAAAATTATAAACTATGTAATAAACAATAAAAAATGGGGCCCTTCCTGGTGGCACAATGTTAGGACGCAGCACTGCAAGCTAGCCACAGCCACTTGAGGTGGCCCTTGAGGTGACCCACATGGCGCGGCAGACCTCTCCTGACCCACCTGCAGCTCCCCTCGGCAGTGTACTTTGTCGATCTGTCTGTTCTGCTCCCCACTCTGCCTCTGGTGAATCCTCTCACTGCCCATGAACCTCTGGCCTGTACCCCAATTCTGTATACATAAATAAACCTTTAAAAACAATCAAAGAAATGAAGGAAATAGAACCTAAACATAAGAGGATGACAACAAACAAGAAGCCAAACCACAATGACCTGTCATAATTACCTTACATGTAAATACCCTGAATTCACAAATTAAAAGGTATAAAGTGGCTGAATTCATTTCAAAACAAAATCCAACCTTCCACTATTTACAGGAAACCCATCTAACCAACAAAGATAAGGAGACTTCAGAGTTAAAGACTAGAAGACAATCCTATAAAAGTAGTCAAGAACAATTATATCAGATAAAATAACAACTAAAAAAGTTAATAGAGGTAGATATCAAAATTATAATTAAGGGCTAATCAAATAACACAAATATATCAAAATATATATTATACTTAAACTAATATATAAATTTAACACAACATCCATGACATTTTTTCCCAAGCAACATGAAAACATAAAAGGTCTTAGTAGCAAAGAAAAATGTTAGGAAAAAAACACATCACCCAACTTTATACCAGAAAGCAACAGTAGTTAAAACATGGTATTAAGAGTAAAAATACACACATTGGATTCAGTGGAAAGATTGCAAAGTCCAGAAATGTACCCACATAGATATCAATACTGAATTTCTGATAATGGGTCCATGCCCATGACATGTAAAAGAATTAAGTTGAATCATTTTAACTTTGAGCACTAAAATTCCAACTGGATTAAATATTTAGATATAAGATCTGCAATAATATATAGAAAAAAAATTAGTAATACAGCTCATTACATCAAAGAGATAGATGGCTTGGGAGGCTAAACCCCTATAGCAAATGAAAGCAAAAATAATTGGCCTTACCTCAAATTACAAAGGTTTTAATTCAGTAAATACAAGTAGATTAAAAAGACATCTTACTGAAGGAGAGAAAATGATCACATAATATGACTACATACTTATATAGCCAAGAATTTAAAAGCTTACAATTGAAAAAATTCCAATTAATAAATGGGCAGCAGATTTGAACAAACAATTCACCAAAAAGGATGTGCACAAAGCCAATAGATAACCAGAAAAATGTTCATCATTGCTTTTAATGTGAAGACAGAGGTTAAAATCATGATAAGCTATCAGGCCAAAGACTGGCATGTTATTTAAAAAAGTAACCCCCAGAAGTGCTGGAGAGGACATGAAGAAAGAAGAACACTAACTGCTGGTGGGAATATAAACTGGTGCCACCATCTTGGAAAGCAATCTGGATTGACCTGCATCTAAAAATGGAAATATGACATGACCCTGCATCCCACTCCTGGGCATTTAGCCAAAGGACAGGAAACCGTCAAATCAAAACACTACGTGCTCTACAGTGCTTATTACTGAGGCACTGTTTACAGAGCTAGGCCATGGGAGCAATCTAAATATTAAGTAAAATGTGTCAGGCACAAAGAAAATAACTACATACCTTATTTTTATGTGAAAAATCAAAAAGGACTCACAAGATACAGAATAGAGACTGAGGTGGGGGTGAGCTTAGTGGAAATGGGTAAGGGAGCCACAAGGTATAAGCTGACTGCTGGAAACTCAGCCCTGGGCGATGTCATGCACACCAAGGCGACTATAATTAACTGTAGTATAATATATATCTGAAAGTATCAATTTTTCATAAAGTTATTATCCTCCACCAAACCATCTGTGCCCAAACTCCATTTACCTCCCTCACCCTCTCCTGACTCTGGCAGCTATTATATCCCTTTTGCTGAGTTCAAGATTTATCCCTGCTATTCTTTGCTTATAGATGTTTTCTGAGTATTTATATTCCACAGATAAGTGAAACCATCCAATATAAATCTTTAAACTTTTCATCACAAGGAAATAATTTGAACTGTGTGGTGATGTTAACTAAATTTATTGTGGTGATCACTTCCCAATATATAGTATATATGAAACCATTATGTTGTACACTAAAAAGTAATAAAAAAATTGTATGTTGATTGCATCTCAATAAAACTAAACTAAGAACAAAAATTCTTTAGAGTGGCACTGGTCTTGCAAAGCAGATTTGAGCAGAAATCACCAGACTCCTTTTTGCCTCACCTGAAATGGCACAGCAAGTGTTTGCTCTATTGCCTCAGCAGAGCACTAGCTGGGAAGAGGCTCAAGGACACAAACTGAGGAGACTTAGGGAACATGGGAAGAAAAGAGGTTCTAAGGTAAAGTTTTGTTGATTAAAATAAAACAATTACTTGGTCATCAATTTCAGATCTATGCTCATAAATGGTCTCCTGAAACAAATTAGTGGATGAATGAGAGTACCTGAAAAGTGAAGAAGATCTATCTACTTCTAGAGAATTTAATGCAATGGCCCTATTAGCTCTGAAAATTCTAAGAAAGTAAAATATTACAGGATATAAACAAATAGGTAACATGGATTAAAAAAACCCTCCAAACTGGCCCTCCCTGGTGGCGCAGCAGGTTAAAGCACAGCACTGAGAAGCTAAAGCCACTTCCTGCATGAGTTCGATCCCTGCCTGCCCCGGAGGTGACCACATGGCGCGGCAGACCTCTCCTGACCCGCCGGCTGCTGCCCTCAGCAGTGTACTTCCTCGATCTGCCTATTCTGCTCCCCACTCTGTCTCTGGTGAAGCCTCTCACCGCCTCTGCACCTCTGGCCTGTACCCCGGTTCTGTATGCATAAATAAATAAATCTTAAAAAAAAAACAAAAAACCTCCAAACTGGTGGTGGAAAGAACAAGGGACTAGCTTAGTGTCTTTTCAGGAAGCTGTAGGGAAGCATGTCTTCAACTCTAGATTAACCACATCTGTGCACTTGCCTGACCTGTCTTCAGAGTCACTCAGGCTCTGATGCACAGAAGATGAGCTCTCTAGCTCCTGTCTTGGGCCACTTAGTTACAGCTTGACAAGGTTACACAGACAGGAGTGGTATGTTATTCTCTCCAAATTCTGGTTTGCTGAACCCTTGAGATGTGCCACCAAACACTGCTTAGGTCAAGTTTGCTTTAGGTCACTGTTAGTTCCAGGTACCCAAAGTGTGGTGAAATTTGAGTGTAGTAGAATAATCTGAGTTTAATTCCCAGCTCTGCCACTAGCTGAGTGACCTTGAGCATACCACTCAAATCCTGTGAACCCAGGTTTAAGAATAATCTCTAACATGAATTTATAAAACACCAGAAGCAGGACAAAGTGTTAAGTTTGGCAGGGGAAGAACTAGCTATTACAATGTAAGGGTTTAGCATCTTTAAGAATGGCTAGGTGAAAACAAGTTTCAAGCTTGTAGATGATTTTAAATAGTGTTTTTAGATGACTAAATGAACAACTGTCATTTTGATAAAACAAGTATTTCATTTTCTTGTTCTAAGAAAATATGCATTCTGATCAGTATTTTCCTCTCTCTTAACAACCTACTTCCTCGTCTCAGAGATGTGTAACCTGGTTTACTAATTCCTTTAGCTCACATTTACTTTCCTGCTTAGCAAATTACTGGAGTTGAAGACTTATTCCCAATGTTTCCTGTGTGGCATATCCTCTGTGCTTTCAGAGAGTAAATGTGTACAAATACAATGTCTTTCTCCTAGCCCCAGGACCTTTGCACCGAAAGCATATAGTTTTAAAATACTTATAAAGTTCTTTCTCCTGTCACTCAAAAAGGTCAGCAGGCACGTTGGGATTTTGGCTACTATAGTGCCATCTAGTGGTGGACAATAGAAACCACTCATTTTCAGCCTTTCTTAACCAGGAGTCCATGAGCTCAGCTGGGAAAGCGTAGTGGCCATAACTTATTTCTAAGATAGGCAGCAGCCGCAGAATTTAAGCACTAGTGATTGTAACATTTACTATAGTAGACTTCACACAAAAATGAAATTTTGGTATTATTTTATACTGATATTTTAAAAAACTATTCAGAGTTCATAAAAATGGAGTAAGTCCAATGAAGTACTTAATATACTTAAAATACCAACATAGACATACAAATGTCATTAAATCAAGCTCATAAAAATATTTAATATGCAATTTCATTCTCATATAAGTCACTGGTGGTCGGGCTTTGCTGCTTCCTTGAGGTAGGCATTACCTGCCTGGTACTTGAGACTTGCTAGGCCCTCAATGCAGTATGTTCTTCAGAGTAGGACTTAGGGTACCACTTTCACATGGTCTTCTGGTAAATACAAAGACGCAGAGCTATTGATGTTTTAATTTTTCTCCTGGGCCATCTGGAAAAAGCACTTCCACAGGGAGCAAGCTGCTTGCTTCAGAAGTCTTC